GAACAGTGCTAAAATAACTAAACTGGAGTCCTATCCTGTAGTTTTATGTTATGTGTTTACATAGACAGTTGCACAGGATTCTTTTGAGGATGGTGAAAAAAACTTGGTGTTCTGAAATGATTTCTAAATGTTAAAATAGATGTTTTTAAAATAAATCTCTAGAAATTGACCCAAAGATGCATTTGGTTTTTATTTATATTTTAAAATATTTTTGAATCCTCAAAAACAGAAGAGTGGATCTTTTTCAACATGTGAAAAAAGTCAAGTTTACTCAACTTAAAATATTTGTAACCTTGCTGCCTTAATATTTTGATTAATGCTAGCAAATTATTTCAAGTCATTTCAACTAACTTATTCACCAGGCAAACAAATTATTTTAGGTAATTTAAACTTGGATGTGAGTGGAAATTACCTTAAATAATTTGTTAGCCTGAATCAAAGGTTTGTAGAAGTTACTTGGACTCTGTGGTTGATAGAACTAAAATATTAGTTGATCTGACTGAAAAATAAATTTAAAAAATGAACTAAAGAAAATATGCTATGTGACCTTTATCCCATAAGTTGAAGAAACTTACTAGTTTGTTGACATTACTCAAAATTATTTGCTAGCGTTAATCAAAATTTTAAGGCAGCGAGGTTACAAATTATTTTAAGTTGAGTCGACTTGGAATTTTTTCCAGTGTAGCCAATAGAAAAATGAACACACACAGACTCTCATGCACACGCTCACTCTCTCACAGATAAAACTATTACCATCTTTTGACTTTCAGAGACAGAAAATAAAAGTGGGCAGGTAAAAAAAAACTTTTTTTCACACCTCTAAACAGCACTAACTTCCACCCACATGACAAACCTTCATACCATGTCCACACCCTGCAGGTCAGGCCCACAGGTTCTGCTAAGCTATCTCTTGCTGTGTATGCCCCTCTCAATGCTATGACACAGAACACACCACAAAACTAGTAACCCACCCTAACATCAAGGAGAACCAAAAAACAGCAAAGGAGTGATGATTTAATGATAGAATAAAGAACTATTGCTTGTGTGTGTGTGTGTGTGTGTGTGTGTGTGTGTGTGTGTGTGTGTGTGTGTGTGTGAGTGAGTGAGTGAGTGAGTGAGTGAGTGAGTGAGTGAGTGAGTGAGTGAGTGAGTGAGTGAGAGAGAGAGAGAGAGAGAGAGAGAGAGAGAGAGAGAGAGAGAGAGAGAGAGAGAGAGAGAGAGAGAGAGAGAGAGAGAGAGAGAGAGAGGGAGGGAGGGAGGGAGGGAGGGAGGGAGGTTGTTGACAGCCAGCGGCCGAGACAGAAAATAAGAATAGCATGATGTTGCCAATAGTGATGACATCTCAGCATGGGAATGGAAAATTATCTCCTCCACCAACTGTTTCATTCACAAACCTCTGTTGCAAGAACATAAAAAAGGATTCAATTCTATGGTACTATGAGTACCAACAATAAAAATGAAGAATAAACCCATGACCATATACAGGTGTTTTGTAGCCTACAAGATAAGATTATTTTTCCTACTAGAACTATAAACAGACTCAGAGGTAGGGCTGCACGATATTAGGAAAACCTGCGATATTCGATAACAGTGCTTAATATTGCGATATTCGATATTACTCACGATAAATGAACAAATACTAAAGTGTGCAGTGTTGATGTTGTCTGGCGTGTGACGTCTGCTCTGGGTTCAAAGCAAACAAAAACTAATGCATGAATTCCATTACAACATAACATTTTTATTGCAAAAACATGCAGCTGCACCTGCTACTGTATTAGCAGCTGCACCTGCTACTGTATTAGCAGCTGCACCTGCTACTGTATTAGCAGCTGCACCTGCTACTGTATTAGCAGCTGCACCTGCTACTGTATTAGCAGCTGCACCTGCTACTGTATTAGCAGCAAAACAACAAACTGCATGCATGCAGCTTCTCAGTGACTTTAAAACATCACCACCACTATAAAACTTTTTCTGATGCTCCAAATACAGAAAAACATCCCTTACCAGGGTTTTTGAATAGATAAAAACAATCAGAAAATAAGTTTAAATGTTAAATAATAGTTAACATCACTTAAATGCAACAGCAAATTCTCTCATTGCTACTGAACATTTTCTCCACTTATGTGGTTATGATATAAGGCCGTTGCTGTAACTGGGAAGTGAACTGTGCTGGGCCAAACTAGGAGAATATTAAGATTTTCTGAGGGAAAGGGAAAAAAAATTGTCTACCTTTCAGAAGAGGAACTGGCAAAAAAACTACATGGAAAATATGTGAAAATGTTTGTTTTTAACCCCAAATTGAACAAGTTTACCTAGATCTTAAAAAGCAGCTCAGATGATGAAACTGCAACTATGATTCTGATAACAAGCTAACAAATTGAACTAGCTCCTCTTAAGCTAACCGGCTAGCAGAGCTTCTGACTGACAGTTTATGTGCAGCAGCAAATCAACTATCCTGATTAACAAGGTTATAAAAGCTCATAAATGAAAAATCACTTTGATGTGTGGGGGAACTTTTCCAGGCCCTCTTTAGCAGGGTGGGACTGGGAGGAGAGTGCTGTAGCCTTTTAGCTGGAAGCTAACCGGAGCTCGGGGCTAACATCACCACCCGGTGGAACACTAGCGACTTGTGTTTATGTTTATGCATTTAGCAGACGCTTTTGTCCAAAGCGACTTATAAGACATGAAGGTGGGTTGGTTCACCGGCACGTGTCGGAGTCAGCCCGGTAAAAATGATTAACGACACCGAGCGGACTCACGCTCAAGTTTGAAAGCAGCGCTGAATCCAGAAACCTCAGCACAAAGTGTGTTCGCTGCTCTGAGCCAGCATGACGAACAAGGGAACGGCGCCGCAAATGTTTGGGTGTTGCTTTCCAAAAGGGTCTACGTAGGGGGCGGGCGTATTACGAGAATGGACCCATCTGATTGGCCGCATATCAGAAGGGCTACATTTGATTGGCCAAATAATACTTCTGCGTAAAAAACAGAGTTGGTTTACAAAAAGTTGATGTATGACACGGATGGAAATGTTTGAACCAAACATTTATCGCTGTTTTTGACGTGCTTTGCGATGGGCCTATCGCACGTCCTGTTATCCTGACGATGATAATTTTTTGATATATTGTGCGGCCCTATCAGAAGTAATTGGAAATCCATCTCTATTCTCTAAGCACCTAAATGTTTCTTCAGGCTTCATGGATCATCAGTCTGTAAACGATCCTGTTATTTGAAAAGTATTTCCAAATAATAACAATGCAACAATTGCCGTTATAAAGTGTTGAGTTCTGTTTCCAAATAACAATAATGTGCCTCACAAGGTAAAAGCCTGAAAGCAAAGCACTATGGGATACTGGCTTGTTGGGAAAGCATCCTGTGTGGCTGGTAGAGGGATGACAGATAGTTATAGCACCAGAAGGTGACCCTTATGCACGTGCCCTTGAGCAAAGAGCTGGGCAGGAGAGAACCAGCACTATACGGAACTGCAACATAATATCTTAGAGGAAATTCACTACATAACCGTCCAATGTTCAGCTATAAATCCCCAGTAAAATCCAACTGTTTGGTGGTTGTAGTAAGTCAGACATGTAAGGCAGTACCGACACTTTGTTACAAACAGAGTTACTAACAAAGTCCAACGTTGTGTCACTGACTCCTGACCAAACAAAGACTTTTCTGTTGGACCCATGCGAGCACTGGGACAGGAACCATCAGCTCCAAACCCACACACACTACCCAATGTCTGACTGTAGTAAAGGGTCACACCCTAAAAACTTGGGATTTTATTCTGACAAGTGTACATAATGAGATTACTATGGTTCACACGAAGCAGACTGGATAACTGTTCATGCAAGCTGTCAAGAAAACTAAAGCATCTACTTCAATAAAAATAAACAAATTAGAGACATCTGAGATCATAATTATGCTCACATTTACAGTAAGCCAAATGTCGTGTTTCTAGATATGAAACTATTAACTGAAAGATGGGTGTGATTCAGATTACTGGGGTTACCTGTTCACATAAATCACATGGCGGCGACTCAGTGCATTTAAACATATAGGTTTTGTATGAGGCGGGGCAGCAGAAATCAGTGAATGTGAAGAAACTGTGTGATGCCCTTGTGTCAATACAGAGAAAAATCTCTGAGGAAAGTTTCCAACATTTTGTAGAATCTCTAACAGTTCTGACACGCCAGTTCCGAAGACAAAAGGGGGTCCAATACAATACTAGGTCTATGAGGTGATTTATATTCATTCATTCATGCCTATCTCCAACAGTCACAAGCAAACCGTAAAAACAACTCACAGATAACATTAACTCCACGAGTTTAAGTAAAAGTTTAGAACTCAAAACAGACAAGATCATACAAAATGTTTGTCGTACATTTTTTAATAAAACTGAAAACTATAGCTAAACCATTTGCCCCTAAGGAGTGTGCCTCTCTTGCTCTCTCTCCCTAAGATCTGACTTTAATCATTTCTGTCACATCACCAGCCCCCTCAAAACTCCTCACCCCCTCCTCTCTCTTTGCTGGCACCTCCCTCACCTCATCTCAACACTGCAACCCTGCTCCTCCACTGAGCATCTCTCTGGTTCCCTCCTCATCCTCTCCATCGCCCCTTACCCACCCCCTGGAGTAAGGACTCACTGGCCACCCAGCAGGGAGATTCATCACAGCAACCTGGCAGTCAACAAGGCCGTGCAAAGCGCGCGCACACACACACGCACACACACACACACACACACACACACACACACACAGGATATTATTCAATCTGACAAACATGACCCAGACTAAATTCTGACACCGCAACCGGCTTATCAAATAGGTGATTTATCATTTACCACAAAGTGTGCCATTGACGCAGCTACAAATCATTAAAAATAAAACAACAAAAACTACAATAAAGCATTATAGTTTGCTTTTCAGGTCAAAATCCTCAAACGCAACCCATTTTAAGCCACCAAACCCCCGGTATTGTTGACCGGCTGAAAGACTCACCTTCTCTACGTTTTCCACCGTGAAGTCCAGCGCGTCCGGTGTGGCTGCTATTCTCCCCGGCGTCTCCATATCTCCGCCGACACGGAGCTGTCAAACGGCCAAAAAGAGACGGCACATTCAGATGCGACTTCCGATTATCCTAAACTTGTAAACAACTGCAGTGCTATCGTTTAACTTCCACAGCAATGGGTGGGATGATTAGGTTGATCAACTATTTCCTATTTGGTCTCATGAATGACACGACACGCTAACCGGGAGCTAAAACACTGTAGCAACGGCTACTATGCTAACGCAAAGCTAGCTCTTTGAGCGACGTTAACTTCACGCAGCCCTCGTGGCAAACACAACTAAACAACACAACTAAAGCAACAATTTCAGTATGACAGTATTATCAGAAGTGTGCGGCGTCAGTGTGTTATCTCTAGCATGTCTGGAGGAGTGTCATTTTCACACCTTTCTGTTCGGCGACGGTATGAGACGATGCTGGCAGCAGCCTGCCGATTTTCTTTCTACCTCTCTGCTGCTCCGTCACTGGTAGCTCTTTGGTGCATTCATGGGCCGTAGGAAATATCACGCCCATTTGGTTAGGGCCACCAAAAAACAAAACAAACAAACAAACAAAATTAAAGTAAAATTAACATCCCTCCACCAGTCCCAAATATCAAACTTTATTGATTCAAGCATTATATATTTTTTGATCATACATGGGCTGTTGACACACGTGTGACCATTTACTCCTGTTCATATCTATTCTAATAATAATTATTAAAGAAAAGTAAAGTGTGCAGATTTTAGCACCAATGACTCGTGACTTCAGTTGGACTGGAATCTGTAAACAGGATTTAACATAATAAACTATTTACAAGACATTTCCATGTAACACATTCGTTCTGATCAAGTTTAAGTGTTTACTGTTTGAGGTGTCAAATAAATACACCATCTAAAGCATATTAATAATTTCAGAATATTAATTATTACTCTAATTCAATTACAGCATTCATCACTGTTTGGGAATTTCAATTCAAAATGTATGACTTAACTCAAATCTGTGAATGTGGCTGAACTCCATTGGGCCTTGAATTGACTCAGGATTTGATTGGAGAAACTCAAGACCTAATTATAACTTGCAATATTAATAGAACTTATTTTGATTAAAGTGGCAGAACGAGGCTTGCATAAATGAGAGTATAACTTATAAAATCTACAAATAAAATGAAATATTTTGTCACAGCCAAGTTCCTTTTTATTTAGGAAAACCCCAAAGCTGCTGTTTAGCTTCATGAGAATTAGGAAAGACCGAATTGAGCAACTTTTGTGAGTGAGTGGTCCCTGATCTAATAATGGTTTAAAAACGTGTTTTTATTAGCACATGTGAAACCGGAAGAGGTGAAACTAACATATGAGATAGAGTCATTCCATGCAAAGCCAGATATTTCAAGCCTTTATTTGTTATAACTGTAACAATTATGGCGTACAGCCTATGGAACTCCTACATTCATAATCTCAGACTCTAGAATATTGTGAAAAGGTTCATTATTCTAAATTCAAAGTGTCACACTCAAATCAGCTAGTGAATCCTAAACACCTGCAAAGGGTTCGTGAATCTTTAGATGGCCTCTCAGTCTAAGCTAGATAGAAAAAGTAAATGGTTTTTGCTCCATTTTCTAATATTTCTAGTTTCACGTGTAGCTGAAGACAAAAACATGATTATTTTCAGCTGAAAGACAACAGCGCTCTCTTGTGGCAACATTACCATCAAAGCGTTCATTCATTCGGGTACTCCAGAGAGAATATAGATATTAAAATACAAAGGTGAGAAAAGAGGTAGAAACTTGACTCGGAGAACTTATTATCTGGTTTTAGTTGTTATGTAAAGTGTTTAAAGTAAGAGAAAGTGACAGAAAAGCACTGATTTCTCATCGAATAACTTATTAGTATAGTATTTATTCCGGACTCTTAGTCCAATTCACAGAAGTAGAAAACAAATTGTAGATAAAATAAAATGGGCACAATATGACACGCTAAAGCACAAGAGACAAATACTGAAAAACACAAACAAGACACAATAACAACGGTTATACATTATAGTAACTCCCTAATCTAAAAGAAAAAAAAGACTGTTATACCAGTGTTTCCACATCTTTGACTGGTAGCGTATTGCACTTTATTGTTACTATTAGTTTAGAATTGAATAAATATTAAAATATGGAACAAAAAAATCGATTGTTATTATTTTTTCACTTTCCGTTGTTTCAAATATTTTGTTCATATGTAAGCAAAATAAAATTACAAGTGTTTTTACAATTAGCCTACAAGTATTTATTATTTGCTCACTACTGTTTATTTAGGATACATCTCTCTAGGGTAGGTCATAACATGATTATTGCAGAAACATGAAAAGATGTTTTTAAAGTCTCTGGGATGCTGAAGTGACGCCTGTAATTAGTGTTTATTTATACCACGACCCTTTTCCCTTGTGTTTTGTGTGGTTTGCTCGGAGCCATCTAGAGGAAGACGGACTATTTTCAACGGGGAACACGTGGCACTGCTTCTGGTAAGAGCGCAGCGCGTTCCCTCACTCAGTCCACGCAGACGCGGAGGACAGCTGTGTGCACGCCCTGCGCACGGGACACCGACTCGGATTTTATACAACTCTTAGAAAATCTACCTGGGTCTGTGAAGGATTTGGATCGGATTCTTGTTTTGTGGTTTTCTTCCAGAGAACAGGAAGAGAGAGAGGATGGAGACCAAACTGTGGATCGCTCTTTGCGCACTTCTGGTGAACTCGGGCTCTGTTTATTGTGGTGCGTATGTAACTTATCGTTTCATTTATTTGGGCTGATATGAACTAACTGGTCCCAGTTTTACTATCATGATACATTACTGAGCACCAGAAGTCTCGCTTCTGTTTCAGTTTAGTGATACATTTAAATTATGTTTTTCTTTCGGGCAAAAGAACATTTGAGATATATTTTTTCTCCTATCAGTTTGGAGTCCATCAGAAAACGTTTGTATTTTACTGTTTTTGCTTTTGCTGGAACAAGTTCAGTTGAGCAACACAAACTCTTCCTCTTCCTGTTTATATTACAAGCTTGTAACATCCTATGTCTCTCTCTATCAACCCACTTTCTGCTTTCTACATGCTCTCTCCCCCACTTTTACTGATCCTCCTCCATCCACACATCCTGCCTGAAACGAGAACATTTGAAAATGCTTCACTCGGCCTAAGCTGCATCTTTAAACGGATAGACACAGCAGGACTACTGTAGAACTGTAATTGAGTAGAAAGGAAATTGTGATAAATGACACCTCTAATAATGGCATTTTGCTCGTTTCGTAACAGGCTTATTTTCTCCAGCGTCACACTTTCAGTTTATCCTGGTGAACAGAAGAGAAGAAACTTAACAAACCTGCTGGCTTTCTGTTCATTCTCTGACTCATGTTGCCTGATTTGTTTTTCTTGAAATTCTAGCTTTGTTTTTATCAAAGGTTGTCTGCATCATCCTATCGATGTTAAAAACATGCTGTAATATTAGGTGGAAGGACAAGCTTTATTGAACATATTAAAGAAATGCCTTCAGATGACCCCGAACATTAATAAAATTTATCTGTTCCCTTGAAGTAAAAACTTGTGACATTTGTCACGTGACTGGACGAGCAATCTGATTTGAAGATCGAGCCCTTCTTCGATTAATTTGGAGGGGGACACCTGGAGATGGTCCACCAACAGTTTATGAGTGGCAGGTGTTACCCTTCGGAACCACCTGCAGCCCCTGTTGTGCCACCTTTGTTTTGCAGCGGCATGTTCAGGACCATCATCCGCCAGACGCAGATGTGAAGAAGTCAGTAGAGAGAAGTTTCTATGTGGATAACTGTCTCCAGAGTGTCCCAACAGTCGCTGAGGCAAAGCATCTGGTCAACAAGCTACAGAGTCTTCTAGCATCTGCCGGGTTCGAACTCCGACAATGGGCCAGCAGCAAGCCGGAAGTCATCAGTCACTTGCCGGCAGAGAGCTGTTCCGCCAGTGTGGAACTATGGTTAGTGTCGCCCTGTGAAATATGAGGTTCTCACCATGCGCAACGTCTACCGAGTTCTGGCTAGTCAATATGACTCCTTGGGTTACATATTACCTTAAACCACTCGAGCCAAGGTTTTGGTCCAACATTTGTGGGACAAACGCCATGGATGGGACCGTCTTTCACCTCAGATACCACTGCAACAGTGGAAAGATTGGTAGGCTGAGCTGGGCATCTTATCAGAGATTACATTACCCTGACCCTACCTGTCCGAAGAGGTCAACCGTGGGAAGCTGGTGACTGAGATGCATGTTTTCTGCAACGCTTTGGAAGAGGCCAATGGGTCGGTGGCATACCTTAGGTTCTCCAATGGACAGGGGGAAGTATTTCTGTCCTTTCTGATGGCTCGTTCCAGAGTAGCTCCAAAGCGGTCCCCATCAATGCCCTAGAATTGTGTGCTGCTCTTACTGGAGCACAACTTTCATGAGTCCTCAAACAAGAGCTCACCATTAGCCTAGACCAGGTTGTCCTGTGGTCCGATTCGACGACAGTGCTCACATGGTTGAAGTCCGAATCATGTTGATTCAAAGTCTTCATCGGCACACATTCCGCAGAAATCCAGGAATTGACTACTGGCTGCACATGGAGATACTTTGATACCATCAATAACCCAGCTGACGATGTGACACGGGGAAAAAGCTCAGGGGATTTGGCGGAACCAAATCGTTGGAGCCAGGGTCCTACCTTTCTCCTGCTTAGCCCTGATGGCTGGCCCAAGGAACCTGCCGCTAATCAAGCCCCAGAGGAGTCAGAACAACGCAAAACTGTCTTTTGTGGACTCACAGCAGTTCCCACCGGCGATCTGGCCCGTTATCACTCATGGAAAGAGCAGTTTGAGGCAACCACGTGGGAAGTGCAAGGGGCGGCTGGCTCTGCTGCTCAGCCATCGGCAGAAGAGTATCGTCAGGCAGAACGGTTGGTTTTTCAGAGGGCTCAGAGGGACAGCTTTCCCTTGGAACTCAGCTTGCTGAAGGCTGGGAAACCCGTTCCTAGAAGCAGCAAACTTCTCACCCTTGCACCGGTGTGGGATGTGGAAGATGACCTCATTCGTGTTGGTGGAAGACTCCGTTGAGCGGAAGATATGGAGCTTACCGCACGTCATCCAGTCATTTCGGATTCCCATCACCCTGCCACCAGGCTCCTTGTCCAAGACTACGGTCGTCACCTTCATCACCCGGGTCCAGAGCGGGTGTTTGCTGAACTTTGTCGTTCCTTCTGGATTCTGCGGGGACGTGAGGCAGTCTGGCGACACCAACACAGTTGCATGGATTGCCAGCGCTGGCGAGCTAGGCCCACAGTACCAAGAATGGCTGATCTACCTGCGGCCCGGTTACGACTGTTTAAGCCTGTGTTCTATTCCACCGGGATGGACTGCTTTGGGCCGTTTGAGGTGAAAGTGGGCCAGCAGCACGAAAAGAGATGGGGAATCCTCTTTAAATGTCTCACCACCAGGGCAGTGCATTTAGATATCCTGACGAGCATCGACACTGATGCCTTTTTGATGGTTCTTCGTCGGTTCATCGCCCACCAAGGAACACTGGCTGAGCTGTTTTCTGACCAGGGAACCAATTTCAAAGGAGGAGAATGGGAACTCAGGGAAGCCTTCACTAAGATTTCTTCCCCATTACAAGAACTCCTTGTTCCACAGAAAATAGATTTCCATTTCAACCCTCCCGTAGCACCACACTTTGGGGGAGTGTGGGACAGGGAAGTACATTCGGTGAAGGATGCCCTTCGAGTTACTGTGGGAGCTCATCCTGTCCCAGAGGAGCTGTTACGCATGGTCTTGATTGAAATTGAAGGTATCCTGAACAGTAAACCTCTGGGTTATGTGTCGGCGGATGTTAGTGACCCAGACCCTGTGACACCCAATACACTTCTGATATGGCAGCCGGATGGTTCACGCCCACATGTCATCTACCCAGAGAACGAGCTCATCGGGCGTCGACAGTGGAAGCATTCACAAGTTTTGACGGATCACTTTTGGACTTGATTCATTCACCTGTACCTGCCAAGTCTCCAGGCTAGCCAGAAGTGGCAGGTCTCAGCAACTGACATCAGCCAGGACAGTGTCGTGATGATAGTGGATCCACAGCTGCCTAGGTAGGGCCTTGTGGCCCGTTGGGAGGATTGTCAGAACTCATCCAGGCAGTAATGGACAGGTTCGATTGGCAGAAGTGAAGGTGGGAGGTAGGATCTACACCCGGCCGGTGGCCAAGCTGATCGTTCTCCTGGCCTTGCCATAGGAGGCAGATGATTGTCCTACTTCTGCTTCTGCACTCTCATAGACTTTGATGGTTTCATTGATGGACAAATGTATTGTATACATTTCGGGGTGGCTGTCTAAAAGCTCTCAAAGTCTTGAGTTCTGGGACTGAATTTCCTTTCTTACCTTTATTTTGAAGTTAACCGGAAGTTTGCTCCCAATGTCCGGCTAGAGATTAAATGGCTTTAGGTTCATATCTCTCGAAGTTTACGTAGCTCTAGGTTTGTGTTCCGGGTTCCTCTCTGCGGTATGTTGCTGCCTGGGGAATAGCACCGGGACATGGTCAAGTGTGTGCGTGGATGAACAGAAAGTGCAATGTTGGATTAATTATTATGGCTATTATTATTATAATTATGCATTTCCTGTTTTATACGAGAACGCTGTTGATATACCTTCCCTCGTGACTGATCGGCGCTGGTCCACTGGCATCTTGGCCGTATGAGGAAGAAGAAGAAGAAAATATCTTTTCTATATCGCCTCTCAAGATAAAAATCACAAAAACATCAATGTAAAAATATCAAAAATAATTTAGAAAATTATTAAAAACATATTTAAAATGAGCAAAAAATAGACAATTGTGATTAAAAAATGTAAAGAAAGAGAGAGAGCGAATAGATTAGAGGGAAATCAGTGGATCCTGAGGGAGGTGGAATAGGTGGGGAGAGCAGAATAAAGAGAGAGTGGTGAAGAAGGTCATACAAAAGCCAGCTTTTTAAAGGAGACCACTGAGTCCACTGATCTCAGGCTCAGGGGGAGAGAGTTCCAGAGTCTGGGGGCCACAGCAGCAGATGATCTGTCACCTTTGGTCTTTAGCCTGGTGCGCTGCACAACCAGTAGGCTTTGATCACTGGACCTCAGGGACCTGCTGGGGGTGTAGGGACTAAGAAGATCGCCAATGTAAGATGGTGCTTGTCCATGTAAGGCCCTATAGACCAGAACCAGGATCTTGAAATGAACCCTGAAGTTGACTGGCAGCCAGTGAAGCTGGAGGAGAAGCGGGGTGATGTGGGTGTGTTTGGAGGACTTGGTCAGAAGCCGAGCACAGGCATTCTGAACCACCTGTAGACGGTTCAGGGAGGTTCTGCTCAGACATGTGAAAAGAGAGTTACAGTAGTCTAAGCGTGAGGAGATGAAGGTGTGGAGAACTGTCTCAAGTTCAGAGCGGGACAGAATGGGACTCAGCTTAGCAACGTTCCTGAGATGGAAGAAGGAAGAGCAAACAAGAGAACTGACATGAGAATCCAGGGTGAGAGCTGGGTCAAAGGTCACACCAAGATTCCTGACTGAGGGTTCGGTGTGAGAAGCAAGGTGACCAAGAGAGTCTCTGACTTTGGGAACCAGCTTGTCTGGGGCACAGATGAGGATCTCAGTCTTATCTTCATTCAGCTGAAGAAAGTTCCCAACCATCCAGGTTTTGATAGAGTCTAAGCATGTGTGTAACAGCTGCAGCTTAGACATCTCATGGGGCTTAAAGGAGATGTACAGTTGGATGTCATCTGCATAAAGATGGTATGAGATTCCTTTGAAGGAGCTTAGGATGTGCTGAAGAGGAAGCGGATAGAGGAGGAAGAGCAGAGGCCCCAGCACAGAACCTTGTGGGACACCATGGGTAACGGAGGTCGTGGAGGACCTAAACTTGGAGACGGCCACAGAAAAGGAGCGCTCAGGAAGACAAGAGGAGAACCACTCCAGAGCAGATCCTGATAGGCCTACCCAGTCTCTCAGCCTCTCCAGTAGCAGGTGAAGGAAGCATGGATGTGCTTTGTATGATCATACGGGAATGTAGATAAGTACGGCTTGACCGACATTGTTACGGTGCGGGAACAGGAGTTGGCTCAGAGTGTCTGAGCTAAGCTAACCCGCCACTGGAAGTACCCATGTCAGTCGGGAAAATAAGAGCACCCTTTTGTTTCCGGACCGGAAGTTGACTGCCGATGTTGAGGGTAACTTGACAAAGCTTAATATAGTGGCTTTATGTGAGCTGATGATGATTTAGTGACCTCTGACTGTTTAGTATGGTTATTAACTGATGATGTGTTGGCAGAAGGTTAACATTCTAATGTGTATTAGTTGTTTAATAAGGTTAAGTTATACATACGCCATATTTGTCATTCTGCAGAAAAAAGCACACCTATGAGCAATCATGTCTATCAGCTGCTATCCTGCTTCACTTGTCATAACTCATGAGTTATAATAAGTGAGTATAAGTGATGCTCTGGCCGGCATTTCCAGCGTAAAGCGAGTTTCAACCTTGACCCAACGCTTTCACAGTCTGTTTACGGTGTGACGTTATTACAGAACCAGTTGACATAATGGTTAAATATTCAACATTTCATTTCTTAGAGTGTATGATAAAATTATCTACGTGTTTAACTACTTGAAAATAATATCCATGAGCAAAGATATAGGGCTTTTCCTGCATTTACTTGTTAGATCTTTAGTTTTCCCGTCAAACACAATAAACTCCAGGACAGTAATAAAATAACCTACAGACATGACTTGTTTTGGTCTTGGTCTGGTTTTGTCACTGCCACTAAGTTGTTTCAGCATTAAGTAGCAAGCATCTGTCCACAGAAAAACCTCTGGTTGCTTTTCTCAGTATCAGGGTCGTGAAGCGAGCATAAGGTGTTTCCTACATGCTGCAGTGGGCTGAAAGTCTGTGAGGAAAACCACCCGCTTCGAACGTTATCACCCCATTGATTGGTCGAGCCCCTTTATCACACACGCGCACTCACACACACTCACACACACTCACACACCTCTGTCTATTTGTGAGTGTCTGTTTTGATTTGATATCATTCAGTTCAGAAAGGTCTCCCTCCTTTTCTCCGTGTGTGTTCTCTTACCTCACTCTGCATGGCTGTGTGCGCTGATGAGCTGTGTGAGTGATTATGAAGGTAATGAAAGGCATCAGGGCAGTGTGTTAGTGAACAGTAATGACTTTACATTACATTAGTTCTCTGGTTTTCATCAAAGCTAGGCATGGGGGACAGAACTGGAGCTTTGTGAAACAGTGCTAGAGAGAGAGAATTAAGGGCTGGGGCTTCATTAAAATGATATTGCTTTAAAGATCTAAAAATTACCCACGGCTCATGGGAACACAATTTGAAGCAGTCCACATTCGGAGTCAGATGTTAAAGTCTGCTGTCGTTTGCAAACTCAAAGAAGATAGTGAAGGGGTTTCCTGTAAGTCTGTGGTCTGGGGGTAAAACACGGGGGAGGGGTTAATGTAATGTAAACAGTTGGATTCATATAAAACAAAGCCTTTTAGGGAAAAAGCAGCCTGAACCACCAGGGAGGCAGTGCCATGCTGTGGGGGAGCTTTGCTCTCTGATGATGCAAGAGGACGGTTCAGCTGAAGTGTTCAATTCAATTCAAAGATACTTTATTAATCCCAGGGGGAAATTACCAGATGGACTCAATCTAGGCTATTTAAAAGATTGTTTCTTCTTCTACATCATTTTACTTGTTAAACATTTCTGTTTTTAGTGTTTTCTTCATCTAAGTTTTGATTGAAAAACTACTTTATTTTTAAAGCCTCTATTGCTGATCAGCTCATGTTAGCATGCTAACATTATGAAAAAGGACAAAATCAACAAGATTTCAGCTCTGATCAGAGTTTTGGAGTGACACACCCCATGTTTATGACTCTCAACTGTTAATGACCCTGACAGCTTGATACAAAGCTCATGTGGTTCCATATTCTTACAGAGGGAAGCGTCGATGCCAAAGGTCTAGCAGCTGTACCACCGAAGGATGGTTTAAGTCTGAACATCACTAGGCATGAGCAGGCAAACTCCAACAACACCAGAAGTTTCAGCAGCAACTCAACTCAAGGAAGTGAAACCATCTCTGGGGCACCAAACTCAACAAACGATAACGGTAACTACAGCTGTAACGGTTCAGTGTATAATCACTCTTGTTCTTTAGCTGGTAGCCATGTTTGTGTGGGTTAGACGTGAGATTTTGAGACTGTTTGAGGCTTGTCAGTCATGTCGTCCTCAAGAAGAGTCTGGAATCCACCAGCAGGTGTTTTAGGACCGGGAGCTATATTTAGATAAGTTGTTATCACAGTTTTCCATGTTCAGAAGTGGACCACAGAGCTAGCGACACGGTTAAAGTGCTGACAGACATGGCTCAAACCCAAAACAGGCAGAGCTCAGTCTAGATGTGAAAATCACATACAAAACAAACTCTAGATGGTACAGGAGCGTACGCAGGTGAGTGTTGAAGTTGTGATGGAATAAATTTAAAAAGGTGCAATCTTCTGTTAGAAGAGATGGATGAGATGTGTTTCAGAGAAATAGAAAGTGACTAAATGCGGTGTGACTTTTCACAAGAGGATGAGAAAGGTAGAAATGAGACCCTCCCCCTTCTAAGAGTCACACGTCTCACATTTCCGCTCCCAGGCATTTTTATTATTGAGAAATCATTCAGATTATTTGTTGAGACTTGTACTTTTGTTCGTTATCGCCGTGAGATTTTTTTTCCAGGTGTTCATAAGTTTGGCACATCTAATCAAACCTGAAGGTTTGTTCTGCTGTTGGTTCTCAGTCTTAAAGGTTCGTGTATTTCATCAGAGATGGACCTGGAATCCAAAACTGTGGTTTTCAGCAAATAAACAACAACAACAACAAAAAAACCTCAGAGATTCTTCATGTATGGATGAGGAACTGAACATTTGTAATAAAACAAAAGTCTCTGGAATGTTTCACAGCTTATTTAGTTTCCAAACAGAACTGGAGCTTGAGCAGTTCTTGGTGATTTTGTCCTTTTTCATAATGTTAGCATGCTAACATGAGCTGATCAGCTCTAATTCTCAGGAGCAATAGAGGCTGTAAAAACAAAGTAGTTTTTCAATCAAAACTTAGATGAAGAAAATACTAAAAACAGAAATGTTTAACAACTAAAATGATGTAGAAGAAGAAACAATCTTTTAAATAGCGCCTCTCAAGATAAAAATCATGAGGCGCTTCACAAGAAGGAACATTAAAAATACAACTCATTTTTTAAAATATCATAACGATGGGAAAAGTTAAAAATGTGACTAAAAATGTGAGGCAATGGAAAAAGAAAATGATTAAGAAAAGGTAATCAGTGGATCCTGGGGAAGGCAGAGTTGGCAGAAAGAGCAGAATTAGGACAGGGTGGTGATGAAGGTCACACCAAAGCCAGCTTGAACAGGTGAGTTCCCTTTCAGTCGATTCACTCGGTACAACGAAGGTACTATGGGACATCACGCCCTCGTGTGGCCAGGCTGAAGACACATGACGCTGCATGGAGGCCCCACCCTCCACTTATAAGCAACCATGTCACTGTCATTCCTCAATTCTTAAACTCTTCACCTCGCTGAGAACACATCCGACAACTAGCTGCGCTATTGAAAGATAGCTTAACCGTTTGCTGACTGAACTCTACTGTCTTCTGGCTAGCATTCCCGCCCACCGATCGCTAACTTTCGTGGCTCTTCAGCTTCTCCACTTTGTTCTTCTGGGTGTCTCGCAATGAGCACTGTGTCGGACGTAGTTTCATGGAAAGCTGCTTCGCGCCCCTGTCTTCAGGGCTGTGGATTCTCTCTTCATGAGAAGGACTTACACGAAGCGTGCCTGGTTTGGAGGCAGGGCAAGGAAGAGCCGTCTTTACCGACTGTACACTCCACCTCCCTCTACTCCCCCACTTGTCCAGATCCAGGCTAACATCAGATTTTAACCATAGGCCCTATCAAATAAAAATGTTTTAAGCCTAGTCTTAAAAGTAGACAAAGTGTCTGCCTCACAGACTAAAGCTGGGAGCTGGTTCCACAGGAGAGGAGCCTGATAACTAAAAGATCTGCCTCCCATCCTAATTTTAGATATTCTGGGAACCACCAGTAGACCTGCAGTCTGAGAGCGAAGTGCTCGGTTAGGAACGTATGGAACAATCAGATCACTGATGTATGATGGAGCTTGATTATTAAGAGCTTTATATGTGAGAAGAAGGATCTTAAAATCTATTCTGAATTTAACAGGTAGCCAATGTAGGGAAGCTAAGACAGGAGAGATATGATCTCTCTTTTTAATTCTCATCAGAACTCTAGCTGCAGCATTTTGGACAAGCTGAAGACTTTTAACTACATTCTGTGGACTTCCTGAGAGTAATGAATTACAGTAATCCAGTCTTGATGTAATAAATGCATGAACTAGTTTTTCAGCATCACTCCTGGAAAGGATGCTTCTAATCTTAGCAATAGTCCGAAGGTGGGAAAAAAAAGTTTAGAGTCATCCAGTTTTTTATGTCCTCAAGACAAGCCTGTAATCTACCCAACCGATTAGTTCATCAGGGTTAATGGATAAATATAACTGAGTATCATCAGCATAACAGTGGAAGTTTATCCCATGCTGTCTAATGATTTTACCAATTGGGAGCATATATATAGTAAAAAGAATTGGTCCAAGCCAAGGGCGTCAGTTTGTTTTCAGAATTGCTGGGGACAATAACCATACGTTTGATTGGGGTTTAAAAATTGCTGGGGACAATAAAGTAGGCTAGCACAGGGGTCGGCACCCCGCGGCTCTGCAGCCGCATGCAGCTCCTCCATCCATCTGATGCGTCTCTCTGTGCTTGTAAAATAATGAATGGATATTTAAATAAAATGCTTTATATTTTACTGCCATTAATTTTACATCTGTATGCCAATTCTATGTAAAGATTGTCTGCGTAAACCTGGACAGGTCCAACCCGGTCTACTGTGAGACCGGGTTGACGCGTCACGCTTGTGCTCGCAGCGTTTTAAAGAGCAAGTCAACCCCTACCAGAGTCTAACTCCACTCCTGCTTTATGTTTGAAAAATGCAACACATGCTGTTGCCTGGCAGACCGAGAGGGCGGAGCCGCTAACAAATACACACACACTCAGGCTCACGACAGCATTGTGACATCATAATGTACCAGTTTACATCATATCATACTTCTTAGCCAATAGCGGTGGCAGATTTAAATTCAAATACAGTGCAGAGTTTTTACCTGACAACGGCACAACACTGCCAGTTTTAGGCAGAATATTTAAATTTGAACTAAGATGCACTGAAGTGCCAAATTATTGACGACACGTGTCTGCAGCACGATTAGACACTCGTTTATTTAGTTTATCAGCAAAAAAAAAGTTTATTTGGGGGTGACTTGCTCTTTAAAAAGAAATGTATGACAAAAGGGGCACCTGCTTTGTAAAACCATCAACAGGGTGAAAAATACCAAAAAATTGTAGGCAGAGACGGGCTACAACTTCTGGGTCCATTTTATATAAATCGTTTTATTGATTATCGTCTTATGAAAGATAACTTTGACGTACACGAGCGATCAGGCGCGTTGCAAGCTTTTCAAAAGTGTGGGGATGTTGTCTGTGCCTAAAATAATTTCATGTTATTCATCTTGTTAGTTTAATTTCCATAATAGCGGAGCAGGTGCGAATTTTAGACGCGTCACGCATGTCTCCGTTTAAACATGTTTAAACTGTTCAGAATACAAATCCAGACTCTGTCTCATTGGATTGGTGTAACTAAAGTTTGTACTGAATGAAACTTTACATTAAACCATGTTGAAAAGAAAAGGATCCGATTAAATCATTTTCCCCTCATTTTACAGTCAGGAAGTACAGCGCAGTGTGCACGGCTCTGGGGTTAATCAGGTTTAGTTGTTTCTCTTTGCAACAATCTTCACAGGAAGGCAAATACTGGACACGCTCGGAGCGCCCACGGTGGACAGTGGGCTGAAGATCGGTAGAGGGGTTCGCGGCGCAGCGCAGAACCACTGTGCAAGCGATAAGATTTCCTCCCACTGAAGCGGTCTGGAAACCCGGTCTCTCTGAGGGATGTGTCACTTGGAAAAATGTTCTTTTTATGAAATTATGAAACTTTGGCTGAATAGCGCTTGTTCCCGTCTCTAATATGGACACGCATGACGCATCCAGTCTGAGGCAGAATAGCCTCTTCACCTCATAAAGCACCTGTAGAGACATTTGATCACGCACCAAGTTTATGTGGAGCAGAAGCGGTCGGGCCACGGCAGGTGAAACGTTCCTAGCCTACATGAAGTGAAACTGTTTAATTGTAACATTAATATGTTACTGGACACGCTGGTCTGGTTGGTTAGACCAGTGTCTGAAGTGGAAAATACACACACACACACACACACACACACAAACACACACACACACACACACACACACACACACACACACACACACACACACACACACACACACACACACACACACACCAATTAAAATAATGCTGATAGCGTGGACTAGAAGACAGGTGATGGTTTACGTATTTAAATGATGATCAGGCTGCTGTAAAATGTAATCTCCATCCACATCCAGACACAATTATCCTCTATTCTTTCTCTATTTGCTCTGCTCTTGTCTGGGCTGATGTAGTTAACAGTGCGCGCGGCGCGCCTAACTAGCGGCTGATGCACATTTTACGCATTTGGAGAGGTGGGCTGGATCCGTCCACTTAACGCACGGGTGTAGACTAAATATTAATGAAGAAAGAATGAAAATTAAATTGTGAGTTTTTACTTCATATTTTATAAATAAAAATGACGGGGGAAAACATTTATGACGTCTTTTTAAACTAAATTTTCTAGCGCGACCTGCCTGCTTCACTTAAGTCACTGCTTATTAAGGTCTGTCCAGAATGACCATGCCTCACCCAAAAATGAAAACCTGGCGCCGCACCTATTATAAACCTCTGCAAATTGTTGTTCTTCACTTTATCAAACTCAGACTTTGTACTGCTAATGTCAAGATGTAAAATTATGAATTCAGTCGAGCTCTTCCGTCCCTCCCTCTCCTGCTCTCCTGGAAACCCGACATCAGCTGTCAGAAGCGGGAGGTGAAGAAGGAGATGAGGCAAACAGAGTGAGTGCGACGTAAAGAAACCAGACTGGTGTGGAGGTGAGCAGAACAGCTGGAAAAGTGTGGGTGTTGAATCCCCCCCATGAGATCTGAGCTGGTAAAACAAAAATCCTCATCAGCAGGCTTTTTTGAAAGTGTGGGGGACACAGCTGCCAATCACAAATTTTGCTGGGGACATGTCCCCGGTGTCCCCGGTTAAAATGACGCCTATGGTCCAAGCACTGAACCCTGTGGTACTCCACAAGTAACCCTGGAGTATGAAGATTTGTCATGTACATTTACAAAATGAAATCTGTCAGACAGGTAGGAGTTAAACCAGCCTAGCGCCGTTCCTTTGCTCCCAACATGTTCAAGTCTTTCTAAAAGAACGGATCAGACTGCTCCAATGGGATCGTATGCTCTGGCGCACCCTTGGCCCAACATTCTCCTCTACACTTTTCCGCTGGTGGAACTGATTCCAGCAGTGCTGGAGAGAGTGCACAAGTCGAGCACATCTCTGATTTTGGTGGCCCCTCAGTGGCCCACAAAGTCTTGGTACCCGGAGATCATCAGTCTGATGATAGCCCCCCCCCCCCCCCCCCCCCCATGGAAGCTCCCCATCAGACAGGACCTTCTGTCACAGGCACAAGGAGAAGTGCTGCACCCTCGCCCACATGTCCAACTTGTTAGCTAAAGGTCTTCCCCCGGCTGTGGTTATTACTATTCAGAGCTCAAGAGCATGCTCCGCTAGGGGTTTATATGCCTATAAGTGGAAGACTTTTGAAGTGTGGTGTCTGAGCAGGTCAGTAGTTCCCTCACAGAGCTCCATTGTGGACATTCTGTTGTTTCTACAGGATCTGCTGGACAAGGGCTTGTCATTCTCCCTTTAAAGGTCTACCTGGCAGCCATTTCGGCTTGCCATGAATCTTTTAATGGAGTTTCTCCTGGCGCTCACCCTTTAGCCATTTGGTTCATGAAAGGGGTTCACAGACTGAGACCCGTTATTAGATCGTCTGTCTCTTCTTGGGACCTAGCTTTGGTGCTGGAGGCCCTGTGTGGTCCCCCATTTGAGCCTATTGAATCGATCAGTATGAAGCTTCTGTCTTATAAGACAGCTCTGCTCTTAGCCCTTGTATCGGCTAAAAGGGTGGGAGACCTTCTTGCTCTTCCATTTCACCCTTCCTGTCTGAAAATGTCATCAGATGGAGCTAGGGTCACTCTGCATCCGAATGTTCCGTATTTGCCTAAGGTCATCCCGCTCAACTGTGGTTCCATGACCATAGAGCTTTCGGGCTTCAGTAGTCCTCCTTTTGCCTCTGAGGAGCAGAGGAGACTGCATCGTCTGTGCCCGGTTCGTGCTCTGCAGGCTTATATAAGTCGCACTCGGAGTATTAGAATAACAGACCAACTGTTTGTGTGTTTAGCCAAACCCTCCATGGGTAAAGCTTTGTCAAAGCAAAGACTTTCTCATTGGATTGTGGAGGCCATTTCCCTGTGTTACAGCGTCACTGGCTCCCAGCTGCCCCTAGGGGTCAGGGCACACTCTACTAGAGGTGTGGCTGCTTCTTGGGCGCTGTTTAAGGGTGTTTCAGTTGGTGACATTTGCTCAGCTGCAAGCTGGGCTACACCCCACACCTTTGTGAGGTTTTACCGCTTGGATGTTTTGGCCCCTTCGGTGGCCCACGCGGTTCTCTCTGCTGGATCTGACTTTGAGGTTTGATAGCTGCTCATGGGGCATTTCGATACGTCTCATAGTACCTTCGTTGTACCAAGTGAATCGGCTGAAAGGGAACGTTAGGTTATGCATATAACCACTGTTCCCTGAAAGAGAGGAACAAGGTACAACGCAGGGCTGCCCCATTCACAGCCCAGCTCGGTGAAGAACGGCTATCGAACTGAGGAATGACAGTGATGTGGTCGCTTTTAAGTGGAGGGCGGGGCCTCCACGCAGCGTCAAATGTGTCTTCAGCCAGGCCACACGAGGGCGTGATGTCCCATAGTACCTTCGTTGTACCTCGTTCCTCTCCTTCAGGGAACAGTGGTTTTATGCATAACCTAACGTTTTCAAGCTGCTTTCAACGGAGACCACTGAGTCCACTGATCTTAGGCTCAGGGAGAGTCTGGAGGCCACAGCAGCAAATGATCTGTCACATAGGACTTAGTTCATTCAAAACCAGACTTTTTTTTTAGAAGTAATGATGACAAAAGCAGACATCCATCCATCCATCCTGGTGCTTTTTCCCAAGTCCAGAAGGGAAATTAAAGACACCTCTTTCCTCAGAAACAATCTCTTCTCTCAGGACACTCCAAAGACTTTCTAATCACATGTCTGAACCACCTCAGCTAATTCCGTTTTGTGACAGAGGAACAGCGGTCCTACTCTCCTCCACATGACGGAGCTTCTCATCTCCATGGTGCTGAGCCTGGCCCACCCATGAGGAAGCTATTTTCAGCTGCTTGCATCCAGAATCTCATTCTTTCAGTTGTAACCCAAATCTAGGGACCATGGGTTACAGTTAGAATGTAGACAGACCTGTAAATCCAGAGCTTTGCACTTTAACGCTGTTCCTTCTCAACCACAACCAACCGAAACAATGACCTCATTATCTGTCAATCCATCTCTCATTCCATCCTTCTACAAGACAACACAACACTTGAAGGCAAAGACCTGACCCCTACTGGAGGGAGCTGTCAGCCTTTCTACAGATGAATGGGAAATCAAAATGCATTTATTATGAGCGTGTTTTGGTAAATGCATCTAAAGTAGAAGTAACAAAGGAGCACTATGTTGATCATCCAAACAGTAATATGGAGTTTCTCCAGGTAATCCCAGTAAATACTTGACTTAGTTTGGAAATCATCTGACATCTTAGTATTTAGAGTAAAAATGATAATATCTCACTTTACATTAAACACAGTGTCAGAAAATCTCTTGCTTGGTAGACTCATGACTTCACTGATGACTTTGTTTTTTGTCTTTCTTCAGGTACGGACACTTCCTCTGCACCGTTGTTTGGTCTAGATAAGAACCAAACCTCTAGTCCTGCTCCAGACTCCAGTAACTCCTCCATCTCTAACACCACCTCTCCCTCCACCATCAGTAACAGAAAAAACGCAACATCCATTTCACCACCTTCAAATCACACCATCTTAAACCATAATAACACCATTACACTTTCAAACCAGTCCACTCTGACAGGGACGTTCTCTCCAAGAGATGTCCCAGTAAACATGTCTACTGCTGCCACCGCTCCAACCATTCCAACACCCCAAACCAGCTCATCCCCCAAGGCCCCCAATATCCCTCCACCAGCGAACACTTCACAGTCCAGCACACACCCAGAGACGTCCACCACCTCTTCACCCAACATCACCTCCTCCACTCAGACCAAAGCCCACTCCGAGAGCTCATCCCATCTGAACGTAGGAGGGAGCAGTAAGTGCATAATACGTTCTGTACCGTATACAAGCCCACTGAGCTTTCCATTTGAATATTGACAGAAGTCAGACTGAATTAGTTGAACAACAAAGACGATGTTGTTCATTTGATTTCCAGCACAAGCCGGTCTTTGCTTTTCGCACAAACACACACGTCACCCACTTACGTCTTCTACAAGCACCGTCACCACCCAGCACTGCACAATCGTCAGTTTGGTTGAGGAAGGGACAGAGGCAGTCATGGGACCCTGACTGTAACTATTCAGTTTTTCTCCTTTTGTATGTTTGGCCGCTTCTCTGTTTGCCTGGTAAATGATTTAGAAATCTGTGGTGACCAGACCAAGATACACAACATTTATTTGTCTATATTTAGAGAAAAGAACCTCAAGTTCAGGGATAGAAAGTATTTTCCTCAGCTGACCAAGCCTGCTTTGTTTGACTACAAATAAAAATCTCTCTGTCTGTGGTTTTATTAGATGCGTGTCACTTTGCCTTTCTCCATTATCCAGAGGAACAAGGAGCGTTCTCTGCTTTGTGGTGGATGTTAGTCTCACTTAGATGATAAAAAAGCAGCTGTGTTTACTAAACCATAGCAACTCTGTAGCAACACTGAAATATACGAGCTAGAAAGGTCAAGATGGTTTAGAGATGAAACAGGACATTATGAATAACGTACATGTATTTTCTCACACTTTTATTTACTGCTTGGCTTCGGTTCTAAGAAACTCCCGTGTTACGGTACTAGTGGTTTAGAGGGGAGCCCAGTGCTGCAGAGGCACGTTTACCATCACCGTGCTGTTTGGCATTTCTGTCCTGAACGCTGAACACAACACCACACCGCCCATATTAGTCTTAGTGGAAATTACAGATGGCACCACTTTGAGTAAAAATGAACATCTTTATCCTGCTTCTGTTAGTGACATGATCCTTTTCACCACACAGGAAGTTTGACATTTCTCTGGTTCTTCTCCTCCAGCTGCTGAAAACAATGACTCTCCTGCATTTGACCCCCTCATGGCTGGTCTGGTGTCAGCTTTCGTCATCACTGCCGTCATCATCACTCTGCTGCTCTTCCTCAAACTGCGTCAAAGACAAAGTGGACCAGAGTTCCGCAGGCTGCAGGAGGTACCCATGGTGAGCATGACTACAAATTCCATTTAGCACAGATTGATAGAACCCTTACCAGGCCTTTCCACTGAATCTAATTCACAGAATCTGTGGATGTTGGAGCACTAACAGTGGGGAAAAAATCTAACAATTAATGCATCTTTATCCTTCTTGCACAGGATGACATGGAAGAAACACCACTGTACAGCTACTGACGGACCCACAACATAACCTTAGGTACTCCACAGTCCAGCTTCAAGTGGCTGTTGAACCAACGTTTAAGGAAATCTGGGTAGGCGTGGTCTTCTTGTATCCAGATGATTGGCTACGATGATGGAAAGGAACATTGTTTAAACTGAAATGAACAATGAAAAAACACTCGTGTTGGTTCCCCTCCAATTTGGCAAAAGTCTGTGTTCAATGCTGTACTCTAAGCAATGTTGGCAAGAAATATCAGTAATCTACGAGAGATTTGACTCTTTGGCATGTCAGCACTTCTACTGAGCTATCCAGCACTGCTGCTTGGGGGTTCTTGGTGCATGTTCTGTTGAGTTTCAGCATCGGAGTCGGGCCAAATCCGGAGCATTGGTTGTAATTGACCTTTTCTGAGCTAGGATACTAATGTTTTCTTAATTGGATTATTCACGTTAATGATAATTGAATCCCATGTGGGCTGAAGGAAATTATCTTGTGGGCTACTTATGGCCCTGAAGCCACCAATTGACAATCACTGCTTTTAGTTACGTAGCCTCAAAAAGTAGTATTCCTGTTTGTCTGATCACAAGATTGGTACACCTTGTTTAGAGGTTTGTGAAAATGTTTTTATGCACTGTTTCTTGGATGATTTCTATTGTTTTCTGTGAACCCGGGAAAAGAAACTTGACGCATGCTGACGTAAAAAAAGGATTTGAGTTTACACCGAAGCTGCCTGTCAGCAGCGTGTGTGAGAATGATGATGAGGAGGATTGTTTGGAAGCTAAAATGATTACCAGCCTCATAGCCAACCTGGACCTGTGTGAGTCATGTGAGACAAGGAGGGAGTCTTGTTTGTCTGGTGCAGATGGAGAGCACAGTGGGGTTGGAGGTGGAGGGATCAGCGCCTTGATAACATTAATGGCTTTCGATTTCTTCCTGCCTTCACTTTGGCCACTTTAATAGGAGCTGGAAAGTGTCTCTCATAGGATCCCCTCTGAATGAGCAGTGCATCATGGGAGACAGAGATACCCATTAAATATCCATTACTCTCACACAGATGGGTGTATTGCTGACATTGTGCCAGCTAAAACTTGATGAATAAAAGACTTTGGTTTTTTGTGTACAAAGGATGACCAAATGATGCTCAGTGAGCACTACTCGGCTCAAGGGCAAAATGTGGGCACTGATGTTTTTCCAGTATATACCATATATAAAAACACGAGATAGATTTCTCAGAAAGGAATTATTGACAGTTTATTTTCAATTGATTTAACTTTTAGTGCTTATTGCCACAACCACGTGAATTCTAAAATAGGTTTCAGTTTTTTAGATGTTGATATTGGCTTCTGTAGTGAAGTCATTCCCAACACATAATCCTAGAGCTACACCATGAGTGGGATCTTTTCCACTGGTAGAATCTACCTCATTTCTCTGTTAGCAAAATGTTTCCTGAACCACTGGATGCAATTTAATCAAAACTCAGAAAAAAATAAATCACTAAATATACAAATGATTCAATTCTAAAGTCAACAAGATTCAAGATGGCTGCCACAGCTAGTGGCTATGACTGTCTATTTTACTGATACTGAGCTAAAACTAAGTGCTGTAGTAGCTGAGATTCTGAAAACAGACGTAATTTCAAGATTGGGCCAAACCGTGACTCCAGCCTTTCCCAGTGTAAGAAGAAAAGCTAAGCCTTTTGTTTTTTCATTATTATTAGGACAGTATAGACGTGTTTCAAACATATCCTTCCATTTCCAAACTCCTGTTGCAAGGCTAAAGGATCTCATTATGGATCTTGCTGTTGCTTAAGTCATGCCCAAAACGTAGCCACATCAAAGTGGCCTCTCACTCCAACAGCCTGTAATCAGAACAGACCCAGTTTCTTGGACAGTGGAAAAAGCCTTATAAATGATGGTTCCTTTGGAAAAAACAGAAATCTGTTTTAGTTTGTGATTATAAACTGGGAAAATGCCTTTGTTCAGTGTGCACATTCACCAATGTTCAGCCCATTTGTTAAGTTGTATAGTATGTATTATTTTCCCAAAGGTTGAGAACTATAAAACGAGTTGTATCCATCAGTGTTCCTGTAACATGGGATCAGAGGACTAATGTGCCTTCATCTGTAGGTCAGGCAGAAACAGAAGGTCTGATATAAGATTTGGCAATGTTTTTTTAGTTTTTAAGTTTGTAGTGTTAACAAGGTTGCTTTTTACATTTTCAGGGCTAAATGAAAAAAATGTGTATACATCTGAAATATGTTAGTGTGAGTGAATGTGTGAGTCTGGGAAAATCAATGTGTTGCATTGAAAGTTCTGTTGTTTATAGGCCCGCACGTGCTCTGCTGCAGGAAATAGTGCCTTGAACAGCTTAGTTGTTACTAAGTTCTGTATTTATTTGTCAAACGAAGAAACTTGTAGTCATTCGTAGAAGTTTTGATTCCAGCTGTTGCGGCTCACACTGATGGGAAGGTGCCTGCACCGGCTTGCCTCTGCTTAACAATAAGCTTCAGGCATGTTCCTCATGAGGCACTCCTTCATTTAATCAGCTACAGACTGAAGTCTGCCGGTGGCCTTCATACATAAATGTAGCATTGTCCTACGCATTGTAAATACTACTGATGCAAAGACCATAGTCTTGATGAAACCCATCACCACGTGTTAACTTGTTATGAGTGGATAGACCCGGAAAAGTTCACGAATATGTTGTTGGTTTTGCCGTTTCAGCTGCAGCGTTTCCCCAAAATGCAGGGAAAATGGAAAAGAATCAAACGTATGAATCTCAGTGTTTTCTACCATTAACAACTACTGATTAAACAAAGATGCAGCAGGGTTTTACAGTACTGTGATGGGTTACCATCACTGATACACATGGGTATAAACTGTAAAGAATCATAAGAATTAACTTTTCATTTTCCTTTTCAAAGACTATCATCGTTTTTCTGGTATGTGGTGATTGTTGTAGTAACCGTTTCATTCGTTCAAATGTTCCAGCTCATGTTGGACTGGTCCTTAAAGGCAACAGCTTGTTGTTCAGTTGTTTTTTTCTATCTGTGTATAAAAGTGTTGTGTTTTTGGCGTCTTTACACAATAAGACTGGTGAATGCAAAATGAGGCTTTGCTGCCATATGTAAATAATTGACCATTGTGTGATCGCTGAATAAAGAGATTTTGAATTCATCCTCTTCAGTCCTGATGACTTCAGCAGAAACACAATGTAAACATATCAATTCAGAAAGAACAGCAGAAACAAACCCTGCTTTTCTGCAAAAGACATTGTGAAAGTTTCACTACTGAATAATTCACAGATGGCATTTTATAAGAGCTGTCAACAAAGTTTCTTAAAAGGTTTTTCTTAGAAGACAGGTCACGTCAGCCATGTGTCTAATAATAATAATAAAGGAAGCACATCCCTTTATTTGCAAAACAGGTTATTCTAACACAATTAAACATAAACTCGTGATATTCGTGAAGTGTTGTAAGTCAGTACAAAATTCAGTCTAACCTAAAAATGTCTGAGTTGTTGTAAACACTCCACTGTTTAAAACAACAGCAATGACTCTTTAGTAACATGCTATACGCTTCAGCTCTGCTGTTTGCCATTCTTTATCTTTCCTTTTCTCACGAGGCCACACAGGAAGTAAATCATCAAATGCTTGTTTATTTTATCCTGATGACTTTGCTTTTAAGCGGCTGATTAATAACAAAACTGCATCTCTTACTTTCCTTTATTTCAGACAGTTCATCACGCTACAGGTACAACAACGTTTTTTTTCTTCCATCTGGTGTTCTCACTTTTACTAACTTATGTATTAAAGGTCAGAGGTCATTAAGACTTAAGTCAGATCCTAACTCTGGGTTATCGTCATCATCATCATCATCATCAAGAAGATAATCATCTTCATCCCGGTTGTCATGGTGACTCTCCACATCTGAATCTGGACCAGTAAAATCACTTGGTCTGGACCGAATGCTGAGACGTGCTCGTGGTTGTGGAGCTGGCAGGAAGAAAAAAAAATGTGGTAAATTTGCGTGGGTGCCTCTTTGTTGTGCCATCATGTGGAATTTATTTGGAAAACATTCTGGGGTTTTTCCTTAGCAACTGTGTACAAGTGTGTGTGTGTGTGTGTGTGTGTGTGTGTGTGTGTGTGTGTGTGTGTGTGTGTGTGTGTGCAAATTATCCTGGTTTCTGTATCCCTAATCACTTTGGGAAATGCTTAAGACCAGAGATTGTAATCTATACCAGGAACATCTAATCTGTGTTACAGTAACTCCCAGCGGGAGCCTCGCTAAGGGTCACACAGACACAGGAGTACCAAGCTCCCCAAAATGACCAGCTTCAGCTGTAAAAGAAATAAAAGCTTCTGGGTTTCATCTGAAAAGGGAGAAACTCATGGAGACAACTAACCCATTACTGGGAGGTGCTGTACATCTAAAGGGTATTACTTCCATCCTGGACTTTCCCTACATAAGCCTCTCTCTTATTCCAAACGTTCTGTGGATATTTTTATTGATATTATTTTATATTGAAAACAAGATCCTTTCAAACACAGCGACTTTGAAACTGTCAGCGTTTTAGTACGTTTAATTGTATGCTAAAAGTGGAAGCACGTGAGGTACTCTCCTCGCTGAGTCAGACTAGAAAATCAAAGTGAAAGTTGAGCCAGGTGTGTGGGGGAGGCACAGTGAGATGAACATGTCTCAACTTGCTAAAATTGTCTTCTGGTTGTCAAAATCTGCTCAATTGCACTTTGTTCTATAGGCTGTGATGTCATTGTGAGAAAATGCTCGAGTGTTTGTGACAAAAAGGAAAATAATAGCATTGATGACTCGTTGAACAGGTGAGTGATCCAGATCTGTGTGTACCGGGGTCTTTGTCATCGAGCCACGACAGATCATCTGAGCTGATCTCAGCGAGGCTCGGGGTCGGGCTGAAGTCCTCAGAGTCAGAATCTGCTTCTTCTGCTCGGACACTTGTCTTCTGGATGTGAGGGACTGCTGGTGGTGGGGAGGGACCTGGGTGAGAACAGAAAACAGGGTTACGGGTTTAGCGTGAGGCAGAGGACAGGGAGGAGGGTGGGGAGTTACCTGATGTGTGTGCAGACGGCAGGTGTGTTTGTTTGTGTCCTTGGAGACCCAAACTCCTCATCTCATCCTTCAGCTCTGACACTTCTGACCTGAACCCCAATAGCGCGAGACACGATTCAAACAACTAGATTTTTTACAATGATGGTGGTCTCCTGATACATCAGTAAAAAGTGAAATCCGTGAAAAGGGGTCCAGTGCTCACACACACCTGATCTGTTGCATCTCTTGCTGGGTGTGAGAATACTGGGAGAGTGTCTTTAACAGGTCACTGCTGTGTGTTTTGTAGCTGTCTGTCAACTCGCTCAGTGTCTGGACAAATCACACAAAAGAGCTTTTGAACATCTAAAACAATGCAAGCAACCAGCCCACGGGCAAACATCAGCGGTCATTGTGTGTACTTTGCAGCTGCGCTCATACTGTCTTCTGGTCTCCCTCGCCTCTGCCTGCTGGAGGTACGTGTCCTCCTCCTGCCTCCCTTTCAAGATGGAGGGACAAAAGAAACGTGAATGTGGTTGTTCCTGCCTTTGTTTGACAAGCTCAGCATGGGATAAGACCTGAGCGCTCTGCTAAATCAACAGATGTGACGTTTTTGTTTTTTCCCTCCACTTACTCAGTTGTGTTTTCAGTTGGTCCAACTCTCTCTGTAGGTGTTCCAACTCCTCTCTGCAAAGCTGTATGCTAACACTGAAGAACAAGACAGAAGAACTGTAAAGCTGCTGTGACCTAGTTTTTTGTTTTATAAGGTGGAAACATGTTTGTGTCACTCTTGAGCTGAAATCATTATCGGTTTAGTCGGCAGCTCTGGGAGCATCACACCTCTTCTCCAGGTTGCCTAGCGATGTGGCTTGTTTTACGTGTCCCCGCAGACTGCTGAGCTCACGCCCAACTTCTCTCCTCCACTGCTCCATCCTTTGCTCCAATCCTGGACTTTGTCCTTTTCTCAGCTCCTCGTGGAGACTCTGAACCTCATCTATAAGAATGAATAATTAAATTACTACAAACCGAAAATCTGCCATCTTTAGCGGGTTTAATGGCCTAATCAGAACAGTGTCATTAATAATTTAATCATGAAATATAATGTACTGTTGAAAATATTTCTTTTTCACCCAAAACACAGAGACAACTACAGAATAAAGAACACAGATGAAAAAATTTATAGATGAACTGTGGACAGAGGATAAACAGAATTTTTAAATTTCATTCATATAAAAGACCAAATTCAGTGAGAAACAGTTTTTACTTGTTATTTTTTTAAATTTGATTGAGTTTAACTTGCAGGCTACACATGAAAATAGTCTTCTACCCATTTCCGGCATCAGACGTCAATAAAAAAATTGATGGGGGACCATTTGGATTAGAAAAACCAGTCAGATCTACATCACACTGAAAATTAACATTCATGGACTCAACCATCTGGGCTTGCGATTGGGAAGGCTGTTGCTAGTTTAGCATCCAGGAGAGAGCAGAGCGAGTCTCGGCTAGTAAAAGCTAACTGTTAGCATTAGCAACTCTACAACACGGTAAAACTTCTCCAGGCTTGTGTTATTTGTGGAGATAAAACATGAACGTTGCAAATAAATAAATAAATAAATAAAAGAAGTCAGTGGTAGAATCACATTGCTGTTAGCCAATCAGAGAAGAGGTGTCCAAATTTCAGGTAATAGGATGCCAAATCCTGCCGTGTTCTTCTCCGGCTAACTTCTAGTCCTGAAACAGGAGCACCAGAGCTTTTCCCCCACAAAGATGGACTCACAAGGCATCCATTTATACTAGCGACCACTGCAAATGTGTTGAAAAAAATGAGTGAACTTGGTCTTTAAGCTCATGTTATCCATTTCCATGTTATGGTACAGATGAAGCACAATCAGGAAGATAAATAAAAAAACATGTTTAATGTATGTGAAATGAAGAAAAATGATGAATCTGTAAATGTGCTCAAGTTTTTCACCCTGCAGGATATTCGGGTAAATAATTTTCCACAAGCCACCGTAGTCTGATCTCACTTCCTGGCATGATGCAAATGAACAAGCTACCTCACAAAGCTAGTAGCTGCTGTAGCTATATTGATAGCATTGATAGAATTTTAAACATCATTTTCATGTTTTTGTTCATGGAAATAATGAACTAAGGCACGTGAAAGGACCACAGTCCATCAGATAATGACTGATCTGTGATGCCTAAAGGCTCTCTGTAAACATGCAGACTAAGAGGACTAAGAGACAAATAAACTTTAGCCCTCGCTAAAGCTACAGACTGTAAAATATCCATCAGCAGTGTGAAATCACACATCCCTAACTTTACCCATCCTTCAGCTTTCCTCACAGGCCGTACTCACACCTCTTGACAAGTTTCTAAACAACCTAAAACTCTGCAACTGTTCTGCTCACTGTTACTGCAGAAATGACCACAGAGGAATGTGGGCGGCTTTCTGAAAATGACACATCCTGTGGAGCTGGTTGTAGTTTTGCAAAGAGAGAAAAACAAAACACAACAATCAGAATCAATAAAATCTGTTTAAAATGATACAGCACAGTGCATCATTTTAAGATTAAAGTGGCTTTTAAGACAAGGATCAGATTAGCTTTTGAAACTTTTTTGCTATAATTGTTATTTATAATCCTTTGAGTTGTTCTAAAATTGTTGTAGTACAGAGGAAATTATGTTCTACTTTTCCTGATGAATGAATCTGGATGAATGAGTGGATGTTAATAATATAAAAGACAGTAAATAGTTTGTGCTGCAGTAGTAAATTACCTTGTAGAGTCTGAATGTGACACTGCTGAGACCGTTTTTCCCTCTCCAGGTCATGGAGTTTCTGTGTGAGGGCCTCAATTGCCTTAAAGAGGGAAGATCATACATTCAGAATTAGGGATGGACAATACAGCGGCATCAATATCGGTATCGGCCGGTGTTAGTCCCTTTTTTTTTTTTTAACATATCGGTATCGGTTCCATAAATAAAACCGGGCCGATATTAACAACCGATATTTTTTTCTATCTTGTCTCCATTTGTTTGCCTGTTTCAGAGGGTGAGGGTGGTGGTGTGTAATTGTTTAGTCATGTGAACAGTGAATGAAATCATCTCAGAACCATAAATGTGTGTGTTGTGTGTAATAACGCAAATTCAGCTTTAATCATTTTCATTCTGTACAAAATCTGCTGATTTTAGAAGCATTCATGTCAGTATACCGTTATCGGCAAATATCGGTTATCGGCCATAACAGTGATCTTAATATTGGATATGGTATTGGCCCAAAAATGTCATATCGGTGCATCACTATTCAGAATGTTGCTGTTCCTACAGTTCATCAAAGCAACAGAATACACAAATGCACAGTTTATTAGTTCTCACGGCGTAATCAGAACACACCTGGCTCTGTATCTGGAGTTGTGACTGGACAGACGCTAGGTCTGCCCACTGAACAGCAGAACCCAGAGCTAGGGACGACTGGCTGTGAGGGTGGATTCTAGGAGAAAGGGCAGGAGGGTCCAAATCTGAACCGAGTGCACTCTGCCTCACTGGAAACAAGTCTGAAGATGACAAAGTCTGAATAAGCTGAAGTATAAAAAAAAAAACAAAAAAAAAAAACAACAAAAAAAAAAACAAAGTAAGTCACTTTTTGAATCTAAAGTGGGTCACCAACCGTCATCTTCTTTGGAGAATTTTCCAAGAGGAGTCAATCTCTCCTGTTGACATATATAAAATCACTTAGAAACACAAAGGGTTTTCAAGATTCAAGATAAATTATTGTCATTACACAGGTGTAAAACAAAACGGACTAAAGACAGCTTACATAAGGGGCAGTAAAATATGGGTAAAGTAAAAGTCACACACATGTTCTCGTTCTCTGTCTGTCTCTCTCTCTCTCTCTCTCTCACACACACACACACACACACACACACACACACACACACACACACCTTTCACACACACACAGCCAGTTTAAGGTGCAAAATATACAAGTATAATATAAACATGGTAATGAGGCAAGTCTGAACTACAAACTGAAGTACAAAGTGAACATAACAGTCACATGTTGAGGTATCAGGGTTAACTAGCTAAATGTGAAGGTGCTGTAGTGCGCTAACTGTCCAGCAGAATTCAATTCAAATTCAAAAATACTTTATTAATCTCAGAGGGAAATTAGAGAATCCCCGTTGGTGTGACCTCCTAGCAGCAACGTTCAGTTCAATTATGGCTCTTTCATCAAAGCTGTGTTACAGCCTGGTGGTGTGTTTTATTGCCCTGTATTGTTTACCAGATGGAAGAAGTTTGAAGAGATGGTAAGCAGGGTGGGTTGAGTCCTTTAGGCTGCTTGCAGTTTTCCAAAGGCAACAAAGGGTGAAAATGTCATCCAGGGCAGGCAGGTGTGTGTGTTTTTTTCTCGGCAGTTTTGATTACTCTCTGCAGGGCGTGCGTTCCTGTCAGCTGCAGAGCTGCTGCTGTACCACACCAGGATGTTGTTGGTCAGGACACTCTCTACAGAGCAGTGATACATAAAACCACACCAGCAGATTTGTGGCAGGTTGATCTTCCTGAGAGCCCTCAGGAAGTATAGCCATTGATGTGCCTTCTTCATCAGACATTTGGTATTGTGTCCATGTTAGGTCCTCTGATGTTTGTGCCCAAGAACTTTAACTGTGACACTATCTCCAGCTGATCTACATTTTCTTTATAAACGTTGAAATAACTAGTCAGTTTAGAGGTTAGCCCATGGGTAGGAAACTCCAGTCCTAGAGAGCATCTATCCAGCATGTTTTAGAGGTTTCCCTGCTTCAACACACCTGATTTTAATCAGCAGGTGATTAACAGGCTTCTATAGACCATGATGAGCTGCTGAATAGCTGAATCAACTTTTCTGAAGCCGGTAAAAAGATAATGAAACGCCACTGCCATCTGCAGGCTGACTCAATAATGACAAGTTAGATGCGAAAACAAACAAAAGGAAAGCTTATCTGAAAATGTCTTACAAGGGAAATTAATATTTAAAAACAAGAAGTTTCTAAAACTAAACAAAAATTAGATAAACGTTTGAATTCACTCACCCTCATCTTTGCTATGCTGCCATCGGTGACTGACAGGATGGAGCTCAGCTGATTTTCCCAGTTCATTTCTGAGAGAACAACAACAAAACCAACCAATCACATCTGTAATAATCATCATCGCCAGCATTCCCAGGGCTCCTGAGTCCTGGAAAGGCGTAGTTGTACTCGGTGTATTGACTAGGACCAGGGACTGTGGTGCAGTAACGCCTGATAGGTGCTTTCTGACACTTCTTAGGGGATTCAGTTACAACAGCAGCCCATTTCCAAGGAAGTCAGGTATCACCTTCAACAGAACAGACGGAGGAGCTGAACGGATTTCAGCTGGGTTCCGATCATGTGTGGGACATTTTCAGGAAAGCTGCTTTCGATAAAAACAGTGTGGGATTTAATGGGTATCATGCAGATATGCATCCTACTAGCTAGCTTAGCTAAAAGGGCAAACAACAACACACTCTTTCAACGTTAATCAAAGCTTCAAGTTATTTGACGTAAAAGAGGAAATTACCTGTAAAGCACACTGTGATTTTATACCTCTGCCCTAAAATATTCTCTGCCGGAATATTTAATGAAGACAAAACTCTTTTTTTATCTAGCAAATAACGTTATTCTCAACAAAATGCATCGCGGATCCACTTTTAAATCCAGGAGCCCGTAACAACTTACGTGGACACGTAAGAGCGCACGGAATTCTGGGTATTGTTGTTTATTGGTTTTGCCTACGAGTTTAAAGTTATAAAAATAAACAGGCAATCATACATAACGTCCACTAAATAAAATTGTATGTAGTTAACGTTTTTTACATTTATTCCTAACAATATTCATATATAAAATAATTGACAATTGAAGCTTAATCATGAAGAAGAGTTTCAAATCCCACAATCCACCGCTGCATGCCCTCACAACAAACCGATGGAGGCTTCCTGCGTTAACGTGGATACTGTGTTAGGACTTTTAGACAGCTGTTTGTCAAAGTTAGGGTTTGAAGGGTATCCTCTAAAGGTGCGTGGAACATTTATTTATTTAGTGTTCATATTTTAGCTGAATAGCAGCTACATTTCAAGCTAAATATTGATATTTGTATTGAACTGGTTTGTTCTCTTCATCCAGTATCAATTTTCTCCAAGTTTGGGTTAATTAAAGTAAGATATAAATGAGTAAGGATTGTGTGTATTGAGCTAATTATTTGTTTGTAATAATATTCTTTTAATGAATTCTTACAGGTTGGCTGGTATAACGCTGTGCTGCCTCCATGCCTACACCTGTCCTACCCAGAAGACACCTTGGCTGTGGTGTTGCTCAGCACTCCTGCCATGTTTGAACAAGCCTTCCTGCCCTTTATGGAGCAGAAGAGCTGTCAAGAGCTGTCTGACCCCGTGGACCAGTGTGTCAGATTCTCTGTCACATCTGCTATCTCACAGGTGAGAGTAGAAGAGAGTAAAACCATGCAAATGCATTTGTGTTTTATAGATCACATTATTTAGAGACAAGCAGCACACACGTTTTGATCATCAAATAAGCTAAATAGTCAATTAATAGGTCATTGTCTGTTCTTTATTACAAAGTTTGGCGACAGTGGCACAGGAGTTAAGTGCTCGCCCCGTAATCGGAAGGTTGCAGGTTCGAGCCCCGCTCAGTCTGTCGCTGTGTCCTTGGGCAAGACACTTAACCCACGTTGCCTGCTGGTGGTGGTCGGAGGGACCGGTGGCGCCAGTGCTCGGCAGCCTCGCCTCTGTCAGTGCGCCCCAGGGCAGCTGTGGCTACATCGTAGCTCATCCCCACCAGTGTGTGAATGGATGAATGGTTGTGTTGTAAAGCGCCTTGGGAGGTTCCATGACTCTAGAAGGCGCTCTATCAAATACAGACCATTTACCATTCACCATTTTTATCTAGCGTATTTGTTGGAGCTATTTATACTTTATTTGTGTTATTTTTGTGTATTTTCTTTAAATTTGTGTAGATTAGTTCACTTTATATTTTTTGAAGCATTTAGAAAGTTTATTTGTAGATTAATATTTGTTTACTTTTGTAGTTCATTTTGCTTACCTTTGTAAGTCAGTCAGGAAAAATCACTGGGTCATTTTGCATAAGTAGGCACTGGTATAGGACCAGCATGCACTGGGGTGGGTGTATGTTTTTTTTACCAGAGCAGGAGAAGCAGCAGGAAACAATGGAAAACAGGATCTGTGTTTTATTGCTTGCCAACCTGGAAAATAAACCTTGAAGAAAATGCAGCTTTTGAGTTCGGACATTGAACTTCTTCTGCCTGCGTACTAAACGTTACCACAGTGCAGCAGTGGCTTTTAAAGTTGGAAATTTTGAAGTGAGTTGACAAACAAAGGAACTGCCACTACAGTAGTGTTAAGGAAAAATCAAGTACCTTAGGTCAGTCAATTTATTTTTGATTTGACAGAAAAATCAGCAGACCAGCTGATGTTTGTTGATAAATTGAACAGGTTATTTGGTTATGTGTTCCTTAAGTTGATCACATGGTCATTGTGTGTTACAGCTATGTGATCGATCACCTTGAATGGTTATTAATAAATACTATTTCATGGTTAGGTAGCAAATCGTGCCCATTGCCTGGCTCTCAATTTACCGGTCGATCAATGTCCCAATCCTCACCTATGATCATGAGCTTTGGGTAATGACCGAAAGAACGAGATCGCGGATACAAGTGGCCGAAATGAGTTTCCTCCGTAGGGTGGCCGGGCTCAGCCTTAGAGATAGGGTGAGGAGCTCAGACCCTAGAACCGCTGCTCCTCCGGATCGAAAGGAGCCAGTTGAGGTGGTTTGGACATCTGGTCAGGATGCCTCCTGGACGCCTCCCCGGGGAGGTGTTTCGGGCATGTCCTGCCGGCAGGAGGCCCCCGGGTCGACCCAGGACACGTTGTAGAGGTTACATCTCCAATCTGGTCCGAGAACGCCTTGGGGTCCTGCCGGAGGAGCTGGTGGAGAAGGCCGGGGGGAGGACGGTCTGGAGCTCCCTAGTTGGGATGCTGCCCCCGCGACCTGGACCCGGATAAGCGGAGGAAGACGAAGACGACGACGATATATGAAAGTCTAATGTTTATCAGTACTGTAATACCAATGCCCTATACACTGGCACTACTGGTTACTGAGGCGGTTGGTAGTCTTTACGTGCGTTTAAAAGAATTGCAGCTTGTGTTTTTTTCTGATTAGGGCTGTCGCAATAATCGCAAGAACAATATATCGCGATATTAAGAAACCCACCGCGCTGCATGACGTGCCACCGCAATTACCACACTTGATTAAATCTCGCGACAGCGCATGCTGAGAAGTAAAGTCCGCGCTGATCGAGGAGATAGTAGGGAACTTTTTTTTATTTCTGTTAGATGTTGCAGCCAAATTTGCATTTCAAAGTTAAACCTCCTGAATGTTGTTTTTAAGTTCAGTCAGAGAATGCCGTTACTGCCCTTTGATCGGCATTCAATAAAGTGTTAAAAATGGCCATGTATTTTTTTCTAACATTTTTTAAACGTGTAAGCACAATGTTTCAAAGGAAATATTGCCATGAGTTTAGTAATTAACAAACAAATTTGCCAAGTACATAAATAAAAACGGGGTGCAATAATATCGCATATCGCAATATTGAGCTGCCCTGACTCACCGCAGGGGGAATTCCTCAATCGCGACAGCCCTATTTCTGATGATGTTTATTTATTTGTCTTCTTCCACAAAGTCCATGATCCTTTCACAGCAGTTAAAGTGGTTTTCAGTGAATGCGTTACTTGCCCCAATGACAGTCCGCAGAGTCCGTTACACACAGCCACAGTCCTCGCCACACAGTAAAAAACTGTTTGTCCCGTCACAGCAACCCCTGAGTCGAATCTGTTTGCTTAAGTAGGCTGGTGCTTCCATAATCAATTGACCAATCAAATGAGGCCAAGCCTCCTCTCATGTGTGCAGAAAGAAAAATGAAAACAACACATATGGCTCCTACAAGTACATTGCAGAAAATAATGAACTTCATCACAATATGCTAATTATTTGAGAAGGACCTGTATTTCCTGATTCATGCAGTGAAGCTTTTTTCCGGAGAGTACAAATTACAAGCCATTCATTCCTACTAGAGACCACTGCAAATGTATTGATTACACAAATGTTCAACTCTTTTAATGATACTACTCTGCTATTTTTGACCCCGAACAATTAACTAATGGGTAAATGGCCTGTATTTGATATAGCGCCTTCAAGAGTCCTGGAACCCCCCAAGAAGCTTTACAACACAATCAGTCAATCACCCATTTACACCCTGGTGGGGATGAGCTACAATGTAGCCACAGCTGCCCTGGGGCGCACTGACAGAGGTGAGGCTGCCGAGCACAGGCGCCACCGGTCCCTCCGACCACCACCAGCAGGCAACGTGGGTTAAGTGTCTTGCCCAAGGACACAACGACAGCGACAGACTGAGCGGGGCTCAAACCTGCAACCTTCCGAGTACGGGGCGAGCACTTAACTCCTGTGCCAATGGGATCAGGTTTGCGTCATCTTTATGTATTTCTAAGAGTTTTTATCCAAAAGTAAAAATGAGGATGTAACAAAGCTGTTTAAAGTAGTAAAGTGGTAACATCACAGCACCCAAATACTTGCTCTTTTCTTCTGGCTCAGTGTTTTCCTGGACATAACGTGGATGTGAGGTACGACTATGAGTTGCTGCCCAACAGGAAACCAAAGTTTTTAGCACAGACTGCTGCTCATGTATCTGGAGCAGCGTTCTACTATCAGCAGTCTGATGTAAAAGACCAACCGTGGGCAGGAAAGGTGAGACTTTGTTTGTTCCTGGAGGTATTTTGGCCGTTCACTTTCTCCATGTTGGTTTTGCGCATTCTGTTTCCCCTGCAGAAAATGTTTGGAGTGTGTGTGCACCCAAAGTTTGGGGGCTGGTTCGCCATCAGAGCCTTGCTGGTGTTTGTGGATGTGATGGTGGGATCTGAACTGGTTCAGCCAACTCCTCCTGACTCTGTTCCTTCCAGAGAGGGTCGAATCCAGCTGCTGGAGGCTTTTAACTTTCGCTGGCAGGTATGAGACTGAAGCATTTTTAATATGAGTGACACATGCTGCCCATGGAAAATAAATAGGGAAACGTTCTGATTAGAACGGCTAGTCAGATCTACGTCACACCGAAAGTTAGCATTCATGGATTCACCCATCTTGGTCTGCGATGGGGAAGGCTGTTGGTGGTTTAGCATCCAGGAAAGAGCAGAGCTCGTCTCGGCTAGTAGAAGCTAACTGCTAGCATTAGCATCTCCACCACACAGCAGAACTCCTTCAGGCTTGTGCTGTTTGTGGGGAAAAAACATCTTTTGATGGTGTTTCTATCTTCTTTGTTGCCTATTGCACCTGTACTCAGCCAGTTTTCCTTTCACTTTAGCTTTTTGAGTAAGTGTGTGTGGGGTGGGAAATTGACTGTTGTGTGGTTGTTTTTATTCTTGTACAGCATTGCACTCATTATATGAAAACCACTTCATACAGGTGCTGGCCAGTAAATTAGAATATCATCAAAAGGTTGAAAATATTTCAGTAATTCCATTCAAAACGTGAAACTTGTACATTATATTCATGCAATGCACACAGACCAATGTATTTCCGATGTTTATTACGTTTAATTTTGATATTTATAGGTGACAACCAATGAAAACATCAAATCTGGTATCTCAGAAAATTAGAATATTCTAAAGGCCAATGAAAAAATGTTTGTTTCTCTAATGTTGGCCAACTGAAAAGAATGAACATGAAAAGAATGTGCATGTATAGCACTCAATACTTAGTCGGGGCTCCTTTTGCCTCAATAACTGCAGTAATGCGGCGTGGCATGGACTCGATCAGTCTGTGGCACTGCTCAGGTGTTATGAGAGCCCAGATTGCTCTGATAGTCGTCTTCAGCTCCTCTGCATTGTTGGGTCTAGCGTATTGCATCCTCCGCTTCACAATACCCCATAGATTTTCTATGGGGTTAAGGTCAGGTGAGTTTGCTGGCCAATCAAGGACAGGGATACCATGGTCCTTGAACCAGGTGCTGGTGGTTTTGGCACTGTGTGCAGGTGCCAAGTCCTGTTGAAAGGTGAAGTCTGCATCCCCATAAAGTTGGTCAGCAGCAGGAAGCATGAAGTGCTCTAAAACTTCCTGGTAGACGGCTGCATTGACCCTGGACCTCAGGAAACAGAGTGGGCCAACACCGGCAGATGACATGGCACCCCACACCATCACTGACGGTGGAAACTTTACACTGGACCTCATGCAACGTGGATTCTGTGCTTCTCCGCTCTTCCTCCAGACTCTGGGTCCTTGATTTCCAAAGGAAATGCAGAACTTGCTTTCATCAGAAAACATAACTTTGGACCACTCAGCATCAGTCCAGTCCTTTTTGTCCTTGGCCCAGGCGAGACGCTTCTTGCGCTGTTTCATGTTCAAGAGTGGCTTGACACACGGAATGCGACACCTGAATCCCATGTCTTTCATGAGTCTCCTCGTGGTGGTTCTTGAAGCGCTGACTCCAGCTGCAGTCCACTCTTTGTGGATCTCCCCCACATTTTTGAATGGGTTTGTCGTCACAATTCTCTGCAGGGTGCGGTTATCCCTAGAGCTTGTACACTTTTTTCTACCACATTTTTTCCGTCCCTTCGCCTGTCTGTTAATGTGCTTGGACACAGAGCTCTGCGAACAGCCAGCTTCTTTAGCAATCACCTTTTGTGTCTTGCCCTCCTTGTGCAAGGTGTCAATGATTGTCTTTTGGACAGCTGTTAAGTCAGAAGTCTTCCCCATGATTGTGGTGCCTTCAAAACAAGACTGAGGGACCTTTTAAAGGCCTTTGCAGGTGTTTTGAGTAAATCAGCTGATTAGAGTGGCAGCAGGTGTCTTCTATATTCAGCCTTTTCAGAATATTCTAATTTTTTGAGATACCAAATTTGGAGTTTTCATTAGTTGTCACTTATGAATATCAAATTTAAATGTAATGAACATTGGAAATACATTGGTCTGTGTGCATTGCATGAATATAATGTACAAGTTTCACGTTTTGAATGGAATTACTGAAATAGTTTCAACTTTTTGATGATATTCTAATTTACTGGCCAGCACCTGTAAATACAATTTTATTTGATCCGCGTTGCAAAGTAAACTGTCAGTGTTAGTCTCTGTTATGTTTAAATATCAGGAAATAATCCTGTCATGTCCTATCACCCACTGCTCTGGCCCGTCAGCTCCACCAGGGAGAGACACGCATGGAGACAATTTGCCCTCATACTTCTCCGTGGGAGTGTTGCAAAGTAATTCCCCACCAGTGCAACAGAGGGCGTAGCGCTGATCTGTGGTATCGTTTCTTTTCACTCCTCCAGTCACGGGGGAATAAAACATTAAGATTTTTTAAGTTTTTCTGCGAGGTATTCTTCAAGTTACTCCGTGTCTGCTGCTTCATATCTTCAGCTCTTTTATGTTTTTGAGGGCGCAATGGCTGCGCTGTAGACAACAGCGTCCTAACCAATCACAAGCTTCTGCGTCTCGATGGACAGATGTTTAGAAAAGAGAGCTCGACTCCGTCCGTCCTTGAGAGGGCTCTCCAGCAGGCTTGCAAGGACGGATAATGGCGTTGCGTGCGTCCGTCCCGACGCAGATGGAGAAGTATAGATTAGGCTTTAGGCTTAACCTGAAACAGGAGCGCCGGAGCATTTCCCCCCACAGAGATCGACTCAAGGCACTCATCTAGAGATCACTGCAAATGTGTTGAAAAACAAGAGAATTTTTGGCCCTATGCTAGTTTTGATTCACCACAATAAAAGCTTTTTAAATATTTCAAAAGGATTCTATACCACACCATGATTAGATTTTATTCTTGCCTTCTTTTTTAATCCTAAGGACTGGAGCTATAGAGACATTGTGCATCCATTCCAGACCTACTCTGAGAAACAGAAGGAGTACTTCTCCACTTTGCCAGCTCAGCGGTTCGCTCTGCTCAGGTCCTGGGGCTTCCTGCCAATTGAAGATGTTCAATCTGACTTCAGCTCAGATGCTCAGAGACAGGTGAACGGACGCAGCTGATGGAGAAGAGGAGCTGACAGCAGAAAGTGCTGCTTGTTCTTTCTGCTTGGATGACTTGAATATTTTATTTTTTTAAACCAAATTCTTGTTAATAAGCTGCTTGCTGATCTGAAGGCTGGCGATGGTAGATAAGCTAAAACATTTAAGCTAATAATATTTTTTCAGTGGCTGCTAAAATGTTTGTTCCGTCAAGTCTCAAGTGGGATCACATCATCAAACATTAGCTTCCGTAATTATAGTCCGTCTCCTTCAAAATGTATTTAAATACAACAACTGTTAGAACAGTTTGTCAAAAAGTGTCAGAAACTATCATTTTTTTTGTTTGAGGATAAAAAATGAACGATTCTGGGTTTTCTGCTCTGCTGATTAAAACGCTTTATTTCGTGTCGTGTTTTGGCGAGGGAGAAACAGAATTTCCTTACTGCACAATATGAATGATCCAATATTACAACATGACTCTTGAATAGCAGTGCTGATGACAAAATGATGCTTTCGTTACGTTTTTTGTCTATTAAGTAACAGAGGGGAAATTTGTTGCTTTAACTAGGGATGATTAGTGTGAACCCTAACAAAGCCGTATACTTCATTTGCATTTGTAGTTCTGTCAACTGGAAAAATACAAATAAAACAATTTGTGGTTTAAAACATCCTTCTCGTGACCGGAAGAGTTTCAGAGCTGTTGTTTTTTTTTTTGACCTGTCAGCTTTATGCATTATAAATGTGAGGTCCCTTTGGTCCTCCAACCTGGCGACAGACTGACTCTAAACTGTGACTGGCTCAGCCCCCCCCCCCCCCCCCCCCCCCCCCCCCCCAGCAAGTTACAGCACCATCTCCAGCCACAAACACGTTTTCAGCCTCATCTCCATTTATTCGTGTCTGAGGGGTTTGCACTGTGACTACATCATTGCTTTCATTCTTACACCTCTAGATGTCAGCATTGTCCTCTTCAAGTTTTTGATGCTGTTCCTGGAGCATCTGCAAATGTTCTACGCTTGATCAAGTCCAGCACCGACTGCGGATAACCTGCTGTGCATCAGAAAGTAAAAACTGTTGCAGCTCTGCAGCAGCCGAGTGAATCTGTAACCGCTTCATCTTTAATCCGTAACTTTGACTTTTAACTTTTAGTTAGAATATTAAGAATTTCACAGTTTAGGTTCATTGCACCCCTCCCCTCCCACAGGCTGTCTATCTAGGTACTGAATCAGCATTTCAGAGCTGTATGCCGCAGGCCTGCAGAGAGCCAGACCACAAACTTCATTATATTTCCACTGATCCTCGATCTCTCCCCTCACCCCCCCCTTGTCTCATCCCACATCTTTCTTTCTTTTTCCTTTTATTTTCTTGGTTTCACTCAGTAAATGCTGCAGTTTGGCTTTCAGCACAAAATAATCTTCGTAGGAAATCCACTATAAGGCATCTATATAAACATTTGCTGCATGCGTGTTTTACATCTCCTAATGAAAACGTACGTGTGATTTAAATGATTTAGATCAAGCTGTTAGCGAGACGAGGCTGCACAACTAAAACCTTGTAAGCATCAACATTGAAATTCCTCCATCTGCTTTTGGGCAGGTGGAAAATGGTAAAAGCAGAGATTCCAGCTGTTTTATATTCATATGTAACATGGTTCTGTTTCCTAATCATAAAACAACAAAAAGACTCGGATTGTGTGAAAGTTGAAACTTTATTTAGATTTTCCAGTAAATCTTGTTTTCTGGCAGCGACCCCCCTCCAATCTGTCCTGTATGTGTGTGTGTTTTGTTGGATTTCAGTTACGACTTTTGTTCTAAATTTGCCATCTAAAAAAACTCGTATATTTTAGATTTTTAAGCCCATAAAGAGCTGGTAATCAAACCACGTGTGTTTGCATGGCTGCTGTTTAAACTTTAAATCTGATGAAAGAAAAAAATTAACTCTTGGCAGCAGTCGCACGCTGCAAAACATTCTGGAGCTGGGATGGCTTTGAGCAGAGATGAAAAAGAGGAGAAAGATGGGGAGGAAAAAATGGCTGAGTGGTGTTTGATGGGTGGAGGATCAGTGAAGCAGTGCTATCTGCCCACAGACATCAGCTAACAAGAGGAGAGGAGGAAGGCCAGAGCGCTCCAGCTACAGACGAGCCGGGAGCCGAGCTGGGGGAGGAACTGAACTCATCCTGAGATTTTAAACATAATATAAATAAAACTGCTAAGTTTTTAAATGAGTCTCTAAAAAAAAAATAACCGTTTTCATGAAGAGATTATGATTTACTAGAAATGGTGAATTATTTAGATTCTGACTCTTCTCTTTATCTTCCTGCTGACATCCTCCGTCTCTATTTAATCCATTCCAGGTCTTTGTGTGTTTTTCTGGAGGTTTGAAAAATTCTAAAGTGTCTTATCAGTTTCTTAGCTTTGCATAATTAACTAGTTTCTGCCTCAGAATTTCCCCCTGCAGCTGATTGGCTGCTGGTCCAATAGATGGGAAGAGGGAGACTATTATCACTGTCTGTGTAAAAAAGCAAGAAATCTTATTTCTAACAGTCTTAATAAAAGATTCAGAAATCAGTAAAACGGATGGAGCAGTCCTACCTTTGCTGCTTCTACTCTGGGTTATTCCCCAAAAGGCGCCGAGTATTAAACAAACACCGTGTGTGGATGTATTTTTTTATTTGGGTAATGACATAGTTTTAACACCAGACACCCCTTCACCATCACCTTACAGTCAAAGGGTGGCAAAATTCACGTTTTTCTTTCCTAATTCCTCCTTTTAGATTAACTTCACTCCCCTGAGAATTTGATATATTTACCCTCTGAACCACTGAAGAGCCTGACTGGAAAACCAGAGTAGTTACGTATCCTGAATTAAAAAGACTTCCCAACGTTAGGAGCTGTTGGTTAAAGGAAGCCAGTTATCTAGGATTGGCCGTGCAGGCTGAGCAGCAACAAGAATACTGAAATGTGAAAAGAAAACGGTCTGTTTAATATTAAATGTTGTAAATCTGTCTTGGAGCCAGAACGTGAGCTTTTAATGAGTTGGATCAAACAATCATGCATTTTCAGTTTTTACAATAAAACCACTGACTCACCTTTGAGGTGCGGGAGATAATTACCTGTAATGCTAAAGGAAAGTGACTCATATGTGAAAGATTCAATTAAATATATAAGAAGAAGAAGACATTTTATTTCAGGTGCTTTTCTTAAAAACTCAAGGTACAGAAAAGGGAATTAAGACAATTAAACATTAAAACAGGTATAAGAAAACATCCACACAGTAAATAAAACAGAGGAAATGAGACTTAAATGACAAATGTGTTTGAAACCCGTGGGTTTAGTTTTAAAGTGGTGCAGAGATGTGGGTTCCACCTTTAAAGAACTCCAGGAACGGTGCAGATCTATTGGATGTTCGACTTCCCACGGTGACGAGTCAATCAATCAATCAATCAAAGCTTTATTTATAAAGCGCCTTCCGCAACCCTGTCAGGAAGCCCAAAGCGCTGAACATGGTACAGTTGTAAGTAATTATACTGAATAAATCAACAATAAAAGAAATTCAAATTACAAAATACAAATTACAAAATACAAAATGGAAATTACAAGATAGATGAAACATTCCGGTAAAATACAAATGTGTGAGACACAATTGGATTGAGTGGATGGATTGAGTGTACCAATGAAAACTGGAATGGATTCAACATAATAGAGGGCCATAATCAAACATGTTCTGGAAACGCCAAGCGGAGGAGGTGTGTTTTTAGGTGATTCTTAAAGACTGGCAGAGAAGGGGACAGCCTAACTGAGGGTGGCAACTGGTTCCAGAGTAACGGTGCTAGGACTGAGAAAGCCCGGTCCCCACGGGTACGACACCTAGACCGAGGGACAGCGAGCAGGCCTTGGTCAGAGGAGCGCAGAGCACGTGATGGGGAATGTCTGTTTAGGAGTGTGGCCAGATAGGGGGGAGCACCATCCTGGAAGAAATGATAAACAAAGACGAGTATTTTGAATTGTGAGCGATAGGAAATCGGAAGCCAGTGCAGGGAGGCCAGAACCGGACTGATGTGGTCCCGTTTCCTGGTCCCAGTCAGGAACCTGGCAGCGCTGTTCTGCACAACCTGTAGGCGACGCAGTGTTGACTGACACAACCCTGCATATAGAGAGTTGCAGTAGTCAAGCCGAGAAATTACAAAGGCATGCAGTACCCGCTCCAGGTGGGCTCTCGACAGGATATGCTTGATTTTAGCAAGGCGTCTCAGGTGAAAGAAACTGGTCCGGATCACAGAATTGATGTGAGCATCAAATTTAAGTCCTACATCAAGTTTCACCCCCAAACTGGTAACAACTGGTTTTGAGTATGGAGAAAGAGGGCCAAGATCAGCATAACGATCCACATTCCTGCTGTTGGGGTGAAAAACAATGAGCTCTGTCTTTCCCTCATTCAGATGTAGATAGTTGGACATTAGCCAAGACTTCACCTCATTAACACAGGAGACAAAGGACTGAATAGAGTGACCTTTCTCCTGACACAACGGAGAGTAAATCTGGCAATCGTCAGCATACAGATGGAATGATAGGCCATGTTTACGAAAGATTGACCCCAGAGGTAGCAGATAAATGGCAAACAAAAGTGGACCAAGGATCGACCCCTGCGGGACCCCCCAGCGGAGCCCCTCCAAAGAAGAAAAAACATCACCCAGTTTAACACAGAATGTCCTGTTTTGGAGATACGATCTAAACCAGTCCAGAGCTGACCCTTTGATCCACCAAACCCATCGTTCCAAGCGATCGAGTAGAATCGCGTGGTCAACTGTGTCGAAGGCTGCTGTCAGGTCTAACAACAGAAGCAGCACAGATGTTCCGTGATCTAGTGATAGATAGATGTCATTTAGGACCCTCAGTAGAGCAGACTCTGTGCTATGGCCAGACCTGAACCCTGATTGGAAAACCTCAAACAGATCAGAGTCAGCTAAATGTGAGACCAGCTGCTGATAAACGACTTTCTCAAGCAGTTTAGATGTAAAGGGCAGGGTAGAGATAGGCCTGTAATTTTCTATCACAGAGACATCAGCACCAGGTTTCTTCAGGGTCGGCCGAATAACGGCTGCTTTCAAAGCAGCTGGGACCACACCTGTGCTCAGGCTCCCATTGATAATCTGACCAAGTGAAGGGCCAAGGCACGGAAAGGCAGCCTTCCAGAGACGAGGCGGTAGAACATCAAGTGGAGAGCCAGATGGCTTCTGCCTCGCAACTAGCTTACTCAGCTCAGAGTATGAAACTGTATTGAGGGAGCTCAGGGTGGGTGGTGATGGATGAACTGGAACAGGGTCAACAGAGTTACCAGAAATAGCTGCTCTAATGCCCGACACTTTATCAACAAAGAATTTGTGAAAAGCTTCAGAGTTTCCAGCAGCTGTAGGAGACATGAAGCTGGGCTCCTGATACACCAGAACTGAGTTTAGCGTTTTGAAGAGAATCTTAGGATTATTGGAGTTTGTCTCAATGATGTCTGCAAAATAGGCCATTATGGCGGCCTTCACTGCATCCTGATAAGCAACCAGAGATGCTCTGAACAACTCACGCGAGACCTGTAGGCCATCCTTTTTCCACTTTCTCTCAGAGGATCTACACGCCCGCCTACAAGCCCGTGTGACATCAGAGAGCCAAGGCTCCCTCCTAGGCCGAGACTT